AATTTAATGTTTTGACTGTATTACAGTCTTTGTAACAAATAATGTGGTTCACACTATTTTTCTTTTATTTTGGCACATTGTTTTGTTCCCACATATTTAAAAATATTCATTCATCTTTTAAACGTTTATTCACCTTTATTTACTTTGGGTTTCTCTTATTTTGAACAGGCTTCTTATAACTTGTTTATCGAACGTTAATTATTTTTATGAATTACATTTAATTCCTAGTAACTTGACTGTGTTCTCTCCTTCTACCTTAATCTCATTTAAAGGCATGAATAGTTTAACTTATTTTCTGGCTGTTTCAACTGTAAAATAATCTACTTGTCGTCTAACAATCGAATAATATTTGGACGTTTAGCGCTTATAGTTTTTGTACTTTGGTTTCAGGATTTTACACGAAACTACAACGATCATCAAGAAGGTTGAAGTATTTATAAATAGTTGTCTACGCAAGATACTCAACATCCATTGGCCGGATATCATCAGCAACAGGCTTCTGTAGGAGAGAGCAAACCAACTACCAGGTGAAGAGGAAATTAGGAAAAGACGATGGAAATGGATAGGACATACATTACGCAAATCATCAAACTGCATCATGAGACAAGCGCTAATTTGGAATCCTGAAGGGAAAAGGAAAAGAGGAAGGCCAAAGAAGACATTACATCAGGAAATAGAGTCAGATATGAAAATGATGAATAAGAAATGGAAGGAGCTGGAAAGGATTGCCCAGGACGGGGATGGATGGAGAATAATGGTGGGGTGTCTATGGTCCTCCACGAGGAGTAACAAGTGTAAGGAAGTAATTTGACACGAAGCACAATCAGTTGTACAGCATCCTAAAGTTGATTTGGGAAGAGTAAAAAGTGAACGAACTGGAACTCTTTAGCACCATCCATTCTTTAATTGATTAACATTTTAGTGTTTATGTCACTCATCATTATTTTCAGTAGTCTGTACTATAAGCTGAACATACTGTGGTTCTTGTTTTCTAAGAAACGTGTATGCCATAATGAAGGTTTGCGAAATTGTAGTAACTTATTGGCTGAATTCGTGAGTCGACTTAAACCAGACTACCCTAGAAGCATTGGGTAGCCGTTTCGTCGTACTATAAGACTCCTCCGCAGTACGCATCCTCTGTTCCGCACGCAGGATTCGATGTTGCGCCAGAACGCTTAACCTCTAGACCATTGGAGAGTCCACTACTAGCACGAAATGGCCCTCCAGCGCTTCTACGTTTTCCAAGGTGGTCTAGCTTAAATCGACCCATGAACTCAACCATTAAATATATATGCATTTGTAACATGAAACTAGCAATCCCATAATCTTTCTATTCATTCTATTTTAAAAAATTCTATTTTATTCCCTCCTTAATTGAAGTTAGAATTACTGCATTCATCTTTGACATTTACAGAGAAAACATTTCAACATCCGTTAAATTCATATTGGCAATTATTGAGTTATGTAACTGATTCATATAACGATATACTAATTTATCAAGGAAGTATATTTTCAAGTTCGAGTCCTAGAGTGAACATCAACTCTGAGATGCAGGCACATCCAGCTGACGAGTTCCAAATAGGATGAAATGGTATGCGTTCTCGATTCCACTAAAAGCTATTGTCCATCTTTGCTTAGTATATTTTCAGTTTGGATTTAAGATAATATCTCATTATATAAATGTGTCATTTGTTTGATTCAAAAATTAGTTTTTAGCTAATAACCTATGAATAGTAATTCAAGCAAACCTTACAGTTGTAAACTTAACTACTACTATTCTTTGTAGGGAAACGCTATAAGCAACCATTCAATTTATACTTGAACAAAAACTAAACAAAGAAATTCACTGTTGGGATGATCCAGAAAATTTCTCTAAAAAAAGCCAAATAAGGCGCCTAAAACACTGAGAAGCATTTTATTTAGTCAGCATTTAATAGACGTTTTGCCAGAAACATCTAGAAAGTAAAACAGTCACATATCCCGTTTCTGAATGAATGTAAAGGGTCAGTGAAATGTCACTGAACCCTGACCAAATATACCGGCAGTTGGGTCAATGAATGTTGAATAGATCATCGATCTCCTTCACGGATAACCAACACGCATCAGTTAGTCGTATGCCATGAACTGGCCTATACGGTGGTGGTCCTACTATCTTCTCTGTACTCATTTTTACTGAGAGATTTCCATAATAACGTCCTTCGTGTTATACGGTCTTCAAAGGATTCATAGTACTTTAATACGTCGAAGGGGTAATCCATGTTAGATGTTGACCGCTAGGTGTGACTTCGAAGTTAGCTAGTTGGTCACATCATTCCCGTCTAACTCAAGTAGGCCGCCAATCACTCGACATAGATCATCTACGTTGGTGATCAACAGATGTTTACCTACACTGCTACTGTTTAGTAGCGTTCCAGGATTTTCGGGAAACTCAAGGCCATCTACAATACTGTAAAAATCCTAGGTTTTCTGTACGTGAATAAACTTCTGAAGTGAAGGATTTCTCCCATATTTCTCGATTTTTCTGTCGTGTTCAAGTTGTTATGTAGATTTATCCTGGGGGTTACTAGAAAAGCATAGGAAATTGAATCTAGCGTCTATGTCGAAGATTTATCATCCACAAAAGCGGTTCATTTAAACAATCAAAAAATCAATCCTTATTACTTCATAAAATGCAAAATTCATTGAATATTTAATTAGAACAATGTTCAATTGACAAACATATGTGGATGTATTCTATTATACAATCAAGTAATAACTAAAAATTAAAAAAGAGATGTATAGTTAGGTACCAAGTTGATCAAAAACAATCAATAAAAATTAGATCTATAAACAATTAATCACCTCTCATCTCTAAACGGTATTAATTTACGATAAAAATAATTTCAATCAATCAGTAAGTTAGCTTGTGGAACTATGATCTACTATGATATTAGTACTGCTCTAATAATAGACCTAATCCTAAAATTATAGACTTGTCATGATATAACTGCCTAATCTATAGGATCTTACGTGGAAGTTACATCATCGTCCACACCAACTCATTGCATCATAACAATTATCAATACATGATGGAGAACAAGCTTAGGCTAGAGATAGGACAATATATTTGATATGGTTAAAAGATATAAGATAACAGGGACCACGCCTGCATGGTCGAGCCATGCCGTTCGATCAACTACAACTCATTCAATTCCTTGTTCGTGCCTTCTCCATCGTTAGGTATTTCTCCGCGTTATATCTATTCTCCGAGCAATCTTGTATTCAGCTTTGAAGATTTCGTGGTTATTATCCAATGCCACTACAAGCTACAACGTAAGATCAGGCACATATGCATCGGTTCAAGTTGCCACACCTCATTAGTACAACTAGATGAACACTGGATTCATAGAAGTAGTTAAGTCAACGGTGGTAATATATAAAAAAATTGTGTAGAAGGATATGATACAGGGAGAAATAATTGGTTCGTAGAAATAAATGTATAAAGCAATTTTAAACTCACGGAGTAAGGGAAGACAAAGAGTATATACACCTAGGGCATTGTGATCAATTCTGAGACATGTCACCCACACTCTTGGACCATTGGCTACGATAGTTACGTAGACCCCGGCCAAGTAGTTTGTATCTATCAACATGGCTAAGACCAGAAGTTACTGGCTATACAGACTGGTGCCATGTCTTGGTTCGGCTACCCCTAACTTTCTTCCAACCATTCCCAACACCGGTTAACATTGCGCGTCATGGCAATCTGTGTTCAGACATACGTAACACATGGCTCAACCATCTCAGTCGATGAAGATTCACAACCTCATCAACTGATTTACCATAATTCCCTAATCCCCTGCGTCTAGCATTACTATAACTTACGTGGTGATCCTAGTAGATGCGAGAACTATTTATAAGGCATCTGTGGTCAAATAGGAACAATAATGGGGCGGATTTGCATGCATATAGCATACAATTCTCTTTGAACCTAGCACACAACAATAGAATCATGCACTGTCTCATCGCCCTTGACAGATCAAGCAACCCGAAAGTTACGAGGACACCATCAGGGCATACGACAGGCTAGGTACCCCGGTCAAGAAAATAATAACCACTGGAGCCTAAAGTAATAACCACCAAGCCAGGGTACATACAGCCCAGCACGAAGCCAGCTGCATGCATTATTATATATTTTTGGGTTAGGTTAATGATCCTTCCACAGGTTCACCTACGGAAACCTTATTACGACTTTTACTTCCTCTAAATGGTCAAATTAGGTCATCTTCTCAGCACCAGTCGAGCGGCAACGCCACTACAACGACACCAATCCAACGACCCCACTAAATCATTCAATCGGTAGTAGCGATACTAGTAGCTTATGAGTGTCTTCTACTCTTAGTGGCCAAGTTTCATAGCCATACAGTAGAACATAACGGATCTCAGAGCAGTATTCTCGTTATCTAATTGATAGACGAATATCTCGCATTCTCAATAAGTGACGTAAGCTGACAAAAGCCAAACGAGGTTTTTGAATCCGTCAGACACCAACTCATTAGGTCTGACCAGACTTCCAAGATAAGTGAAGTTGTCAGTGCGTTCAACTACCTCACTCCCTATTCTTAGTTCGGGTATTGAGACAGGCCATCCCTGGAGCAACAGCTCGTAATTAGAAGGGAAGAAAGGCATCTCAAACATTCTGGTATCGCTGCTCAGTGATACTGAAAGTCTCTGCATTTTATCAGCGTCCTCACCAGATAGGACTGTGTCATCCGCATATTCTAAGTGGACTTCCTGGAAGGAGATGGATTCCTGAAAATTCATTCAACAGGATTGTTATGAACAGCCTTGCAAGAAACCGAATGAATTTGCAAAATCCGATGTCAGTTTGACATAAGCTCTGATGTGACTGATAGTATTTTAAAAAAGAACCTTCATATGGTTTATGTACTTCTGTGTTACAACATTTAATGACAGACACTGCAGAAGAAAATCCAAGAAAAGTAATACAAGACAACCCACTAACGTCGCTTTAACTGATTATCAATTTGGTCATGAATAGTTTGCAATATGTCATGTGAAACTGAAATGTAAGAAAACAAACAAAATCTAACTGACATCTACATTCTTAGGTATGAATAGTGAAATAATTGATAGATTAATGAAAATCGAATAATGAGTAGATCTATAATGTGAGTGATAATGTAATGTTTGAAAGAAATAATTTACATTCACTGTGTTTATTGTTGCAATCAACAACTATGTCAGTGTCTGTTTCCGTTTGAATTGAACTTCTCAAATATCATACAAGTAACAAAAATTTCAGTTCTAGAGGTCTAGTCTAACATGAATTGTATTCTCATGTTTCCATATCTTCATTTACCTTCATGTTCTACTTAACTAACTGACTGAACATTTCTCAATGTAATGATGGTATAGATTCATATGACTGGGATTTGGATTAGTGAATTGAATGAGAAGTATTTGTCCATTATGTTAAAAATCTAATTGAATAATCTCTTATCTGTCATAATCAATATACATCCAGAGAACAATTACAATACTCACATAAATAAATGTTGCATACACGTATTTTCCCATATCGATCTCGTAGTAAAACATCAAGTAGTTGTAGTTGTTGATTATCTATGAACAATGAAATATACAAATGTGATTCATGTATTGGAATGTGTATGGATGACAAAGACAGGTATATTCATTTAGAAAATTTACCTTTTATATTGTTAGAATTGGGTAACGGGCAAATTTCATTTTTGTATTCATCCACCAATTCTGGATAGGTGTGAGAATGAAAGTACAAATGTTACAGAAAATATTAGAATTATATGGATTTATAATATTCGTTTGTAGAATTGTTCGAATCTATAAACAACAATTTAACTACCTTCATCACCATCATTATTTGAAAAATGATTTTGAACGAGCCGAAATGACGTAGAAGCTACTAGGTGAACGGTCTGGATAGATCCTTTGCCTATATATCAATCAAGTTACATACAGCCCGAATGACCCCCCATTAGTCATTCCATCTGTCTACTGTAAGAGCTAGCATATAGCACAGGTCTCTTAGGTCGAAAAACAGGAGTAGTTCCAGATTTGTGGTTTGACAATGCCTTGTCTTCTGTACATTCTCCTAATACTTATGTAAACACGTGGTGGTGTCTTTGTAGCTAGGCATTTTACTGGTCGAGCTCTAAGGAGTTATCAGTTCTGATTAGGCTGCAGCTGTTATTAATCGAATGCTCTACTAGTTTTAGTGTCACTATAAGATCCAACCCCTTGAAGTCGAATGCTGGATTCTTTGCACTCATTCTCACATTACCTTTAGAAACAATACAAGATACACCCCCAAACAAATATTTAACTTCCCACAAGATGCATTGTGTTCTAGTTGTGTTGTTGGATAAACTGTGGGTCTCTCAATATTCCTCCAAGTTTCTGAGCTGGCCAGAGTAATATCAAATGCTGTATCAAGTTAAAGACGAGCACTTTGTTTATTGATATCGAAGGTTAGATACTTTCTTTTGAGGTGAATTCGTACTCGGTTATGTGATATCAATATCTTGTTATTTAATGCATCAGATCTGTATTTTTTGAAGCAAGGTTTCGAAGATTGTCTTCTACGGGTTTTTATGTGGACCTTGTGGCGAGACTATAATTTATGGATGAACCAATCAGATATAAGATAACGAGTCACGAATTCATCCATACATTTGGCTAAATAGAGTTTTAGCTTGATAGCTGATGTCAGTTCGTGGTGAAAACCCTAAATCTAATTTTTAACCATAGTCATCAACAGTAGAAGAGAATTCTCACTGCTTTATAACCTTCATTTAGTCCTAAATAGTAGATGCTCACTCTCAAGGTCACTTCAGCGGCGCTCAAATGTCGTCTATAAATTGTAGTCTCACCCCACTTATTTCTTTATGACCCTTACGATGACATTTAGTGCGACAATGTTCTCTGTATGGGCAGAGCATCTTATAATGTTAATCCCCACATTCCCAGCATAGAGATGAGGGCTGATTGTCTGTGTGCGATAATTTTCTTGAGCCGGAATCTTCCTTTTCGCTTACAACATGAACGTATGGCAGCCGGCTATTATTTTTAACGATGGTGTCGTGTTCCAAGCTATTCAATCTCTGGCGCTCCGTCCCAATCTCCAAACGTTGGGGAAATATTGGGGAATTTCCCCAGGTCCAGGGAAAAACTGAGAAAATAGCATAAAAACCCCAAACTTTCCTCAAAGTTTACTGTAATATTTTCCCCAAAATTTTCCCAAAGTTGAGAGCTCGAGTTGGTCACTTCCTCTAGCGTTATGTTCGGGCATTGTTCAATTTTACTCGGAATTCTGGTTCTATTATCGGTATCTTCATGAGATTGGAGGCCGTATACAAACACGAGACACTTAAGCTGATCTGCTGTCACAGCTGATAGTTTAAACCGCTCACATTCGCTTTTTACTAAACCTGCATACTTCACCGAGTCATCATTACCGGCTTTTATTGTCTTGAGGCACTGATAACGGATAATAAACTAAAATGACTTTTCAGCGACAAGATATCAATTGTTGCACCGAAAGAAAAATCGGTGAGACTATAATTTATGGACGACTCCAAAGAGACCTTGAGAATGTTAACCTACATACTACGGCTAAATGAGTGTTATAAACCAGCGTGAGGAATTAGAATTGATTTTTACAGTTGACGGTTAGTATTAAAAATCAGAAATGGGGTTTTCATCACGAACTAACATCACCTATAATGCTGAGACTCTATATATCCAAATGCATGAGTTAATTTTGCACCAAAATCCAAAACCTGTTATCTTATATGTGATTGGTTCGCCCAGAAATTATAGTCTCGCCGAAAAATCTCTTGAGTTCTTTGAAAGGATGAGATTACCCTAACCTTCGTGTTCAACCGTGCCAAGTATTCGTAGCAGTGTTCTGATCTTGGCTGTGTCATCAAGTTTTCGGAGGTCAACCTTGAACAAATCTTCGTACTTCTTGAACCAGAATTCAAAAGTCATACTAGCCGAACAATCAAAATTAAATTAATGTATAGAGTGGATGATGGAATCGGTATGTAAATTACATGAATAATCAGTAAATTCTTTATGACCAGGATTCATTTGTTGCGTTGGCATCTCCCGGACACACACATAGAACTGTTCGTAATGTTTTTCATGGAGTTCAAGCATATATTCTGTATGTTCAAGAGTAATTAGCGCTGCTATTGGTACATCCCGTCGCCAATGTGAGGTTAGATACTTGATTAACACAGAACACAGTATACAAAAATGACAATCGAGTGTATAGAACCACCACAGCTGCAAGCCACAAGACGGAAGAAGACTAGTGTAGTGCTTGTTGGGTAATAATCAAAATGTACAGAAAATCATGAGCATTTATAGATATTAGCGTTTGTCTTACAAATATTATAATTCAGCAAATCCACAAATACATATATATATATATATATATATATAACTACTATGAAATAGTAGCATGTCACGTTGATATTCTGCAAAGCTCCATCAAGTTCTGAGCAGATGGAAAAGTTTCGGCTCCTTCAGGGACTCTGAAGGCTACGTCAAAGTTCTCAGAAGCCATCTCAACAATCATCATTAAATAATTTAAAAGAAACATATGTGTCAAACACTCGTTAGTAAGTATTCACACTCACTTTCATAAACCGACTGTTCTTCAGTGAAACATTTCTTCACTTCATCGGAATTTCGAACAGTTGTTCCTACAATTCAATAGTCAAATAAGAAGTTTCACATTCGGAGAGATTACAGAACCACAACTATGTAGCACAGAGAGTTCTTCATCACACACATTCAACCACATTAGAAACATTCACAAGTAAATGGAGTGTTGATGTCAAGTACATTAAATGATGCTTGTGTTGCCTTACAAACTGCACTTATCATCAGCACATTTCAAATATTGTGAAAATGTTGATGTAATGGCATGAATACCGTTTCAACTGTCAAACACGATCAGTACACTGGAGGAAATTACACATACCATGTATGTTTTCTTGTATTCTCATTTCCCTGATTAACTCTAAACATTGTAGAACAAGAGAATTTAAAGTAGCAATGAAACACATTGGATGAGAGATACATTCGAGTGATAAATCATGTTTCACTTTTCTATCATTTATTTATTTACTTATTTATTCCGAAATATTTTATTCGTAAATTCATTACATCATTCCGACAATTGATGTGAGAATTTGGCGACAATGATCGAAATACAATAATGTTGAGATGCTTATCACGAGACTTGGTACGAGGCAATATCGGTATTTGTATTGGTGTGAAACCAACAGTTTGAAATATGCCCATTGAACAAACACTCTCTGTTTGTGTTTGTGTGTCCGATCACCTCATCTGTATGCACAGTCGATGTGAGTTGGTCGAATGTTGAGTGTGTTTGTTGTGAAACACTCAAATACTGTCGAACTCTATGCACACTGTTGCCATGTGTCATGTTACAGGTTCTACAGTTGAGTCTAGCTACACATCCCATGTCTGTATGATATATACCTCGAATTTTCATATTAATAATCAAATCATCAGATGCATAAATACTTCACACACACACATCATCATCATCAACAACAACAACAATTTCCAGACAATCGAATTCATCAATTCCGAACTGAAATGCATTAGGTACACACTGACCTTCCATAAGTATCTTTCGTTCAATAGAATGATAAATTTTACTTCTGCACGTCATATCTACAATCATCAGATAAATTTGTTTGATTAGTTCATATTTCAACATACATTCGTCAATTGTTTGACTTTCAGTTGACAATTCCATATTGATTTCATCTGAAAGATGAACGATAAGCGATAAGTCGTATATCGATTTAACCGGCAATATGATCATTTATCTGTTAATTGCTTACCCGTCTATGCTGTGTACATTTCTACTTGCTTAAATGAACTTACCTCTCAGATCTAGTAATTTTTTCTCGTTTGTTCTGAAATTTTCGATTAGTCTATCTAAATGTTCTACAATTTAGAAATCGATGGAATGAGAACAACAATAATTATTAGTACTAAATGATGATTATGTGGATATGTTCCATTGCATTCTATTTTAGGCATACAGATCAAAGTAGCATTCATCAAAATGTTCAACTAACTATACTTGTGAATTCGAATCATTTTAGCAAAATAATAATTGTCCGAAAGTATCCCTTACATCCATGGTATTGAAGTTATTCAAATCAAGTTCAGTAGTTTTAAATAAACATTTAAACTCTTGCAAACTCTTGGCAGGTGTTATCTTCTCAGATACTAAACGATTCTGTTTTCTTTCTTCTCATGTTTCTGTATTCCCATGTTTTGTAAAGGAAACTTGTTGAGAATTCTATGTTGGATCCGAAATATAATACTGAATGAAGCCAATAATAGTAATGATAATAATAATCGTTTGAAATAGTGCAGGTGCATCTAATGTTTGTGTTCTGCCAAATTCTAATCTTCTCAATTCTTCACATCCCTTTCTTGTTTTTCTCTTTCCAAATTTATTTCACTGTATTATACTATTTGAATAACATCTTCAAACCCTAATTTTCCCCATTACTACTTATATTTTTACTACCTATACCACTATGAGATTTTGATGGACTATTGTATCTTTGCGCTAATGTGGTATGTTAACTCGAACTGATATACGTACATACGTACGAAGTTATACGTTGTCACCGACTGACTGACTAATTGAACATCTGGTGGACCTAGATCAAACATTACAATTTCATTTTAAATATACGAAATTAATATGCTTCATAAAGTGTAATGGATAGGATAGGATAAAATAGATAAACATGATATATTCAACGTACCTTTACAATATATTATTGCCATTTCTACATTAGATTTTCTCGGTTCTAAATTATCTGTAAACATAGTGAAATGGATGATCCTCAACCATAAATATAAATGGTGATTTTTTGAAAATAAATTCAGTTTCTACGTAAATGTGATCCACTATCAGTGACGTATTCATCACACGCTACAATCGATTTCATTCAACTTGTAAGAATAGACATGTCAATCATATATTCACTTTCTTAATAGTTTTTACCTATTTGTGTGGTCTGTAAGACGAATTCAAATCTGAATGACATTTCCACATGAATATAGGTGATGTGTAGGAGAGAATGATAATGATTATTTGTTTGCTTAGTAAGACATGAAGATAGTCTTGACAAGTGTTAGATGAGTTGAATATACCCTAATAATTATTATTAATTGTTATTGATTGTTCATTGTTGTTGGATTGTGTTGGGTTTTTGGTGTGGATATATATTTACACTCTAGTCAAGCTAATCACGTGTTCTTGATCTGAGTTGTGTTGAAATCCTAAAGAATAGACAATGGGAGGGAATCGAGTGTAGATATTCACTTAAGCTAAATTAAAATCTTATACGTGTAGACGAAGTAAAACCGAGCGTTATAACATTGGCGACGGTGGTTAAAACTGATCTGCGCCTATATATTCAATTAAAGTAAATTTCGGAACAATATAATGGATTATCTGAAATCTTTATTGCAACAGCGAAATTCTCTTATCGAGTTATCGGTCAAGAAAATGTCAACCAACATTACTTTCAGAGAAATAGTAGAATGCTTGACACGTATATTTGGTGGACGATCATCAATTTTCACACTAGATACCGATGTCTCCAGCTTGTAAAAGAAACACAGGACGATTATGTGACGTATACAAGCATCGTGAACTGGGAATGTGAGCGGTTCCTGTTTCAAGAAATATCCTTAGATCAGTTCCAATGCCTTATTTTTGTCTAACGGTTACAATCTGCAGTAGATGCAAACATCAGAACACGGATTTTAGCGAGGATCAAAACAAGATTCCAATATCAGTCTGAAATTAGTTTCTGAAGATCGTCAAAGAATGGTGAATTTGAAGCATGACACAAATCTAGTAGAAAGGAACAGTGGATTGGGGAAGTTAGTGTCTTGCGTAAATCTTTTAACGGAAATAAGGATCCGTACTCCCAGCGAATCCAAAATCAAGTGAAACCCAATACTTCTTGTTGGCAATGCAGTAAGTGTCATTCTGATAATGTTTTCTTTTTTTTTTTAAAGTTTGTTTCTGATATGGTAAATATGGTCATGCTCAAGTATGCTGTAAAAGTGGGGAAAAGGTTGCCAACCACCAGCATATGTTCCGTAAAGGAAATAAGACGCGGACATCAAAAGATATATCACATAATTCGAATGTTTTTCTGGCTACAAAAAGTGTTCAGTTCTCATCTAAAAGGGAGTATGTAACTATCTTTTTAATGGTAAACCGGACAAGCTGCAAGTTGATAGGGGTCTGACATAACATTAATTTCTAGAGAGACTTGGATAAAACTTGGTCAACCTCAATATCAACCTACATATTATAATAAAAATATTATAACGCTATGAGTGCGATAGGAACTAACATTACTCTTCTTGAAGAAATGCAGATGCCTCTTACATTGGGTGACAAGGCTATGATCGGAAAATGTTGTATTTCTGGGGTCTGTCATACCAACCTATTAGGTATTGATTGGATGGATAAATTTGTTTTGTGGGATCTACTGTTGAATACACTGAAAGTAAAGTCCCAGCCATGCCCAGAGATAAACAAGCCTTGTGTCCGAGTACACATCGATTATGCTGAACTAATAAGTGGACAATATTTTCGGTGGTGGTAGATTCATACTCAAAATGGCCTGAAATTTATGTTGTGCGAAGACCGTCTACATCTTAAACGCTGTTACGTCTCAGACAACTATTTGGTAAGTTTGGGACACATAATATTTTGGTTTTAGACAACGTGACGCAATTCACGTCGTCACAGTTTGCGGAGTTCTGTAAACAAAATGGAATTGAACATATTAGAATCCCACCGTATCACACTCAGTCAAATGGGCAAGAAGAAAAATTTGTTGATATTCTTAAGCGAGCTCTTTTAAAGAAAGGAGGAAAAGATAACGTAGAAGAAACTCTGCAACAGTTTCTAATTTCTTATGGAATTGCACCTCGTCCAAAGTGTCAAGACGGGGAATCACCAGCCCAAATAATAATTGGCCGACCAATTACGACATTTTTGATGTTTTGAACCCGTAAGACAGAGTGATTGGACTACAAAATAATAAGAAAGGGGTTTGTCCGAAGATTCGAGAATTTAAAGTAGATGACAGTCTATGCACGTGAGTTTCGACCTGACAAGCGAAAATGGATATTTAGGTGTATAAATAAAGACGTGAAGTGATTTTCAAAAGTAGACTAACTATTAGACACACAAATCAACTGAGATATAGAAAAAATGTTTTCCAGTCATCTAAACTCAAACTTTTACCAATGGAAATATAATGTGATAAATTTCACAAGTTGAAATCATGAGTCAGTTGAAGCTAGACCACCATTGAAAACCTGGAAGCACAGGACGGCCGTTTCGTCCTGGTATGGGACTCCTCAGCAGTGCGCATCCACGATCCCGCACCACGCGGGGCTCAAACCCAGGATCTACTGGCTTTGCGCGCGAGCACTCAAACACTAGACCACTGAGCCGGTATCCAACAGTGTTAATGTCTAACTTCAACCAATCCACGAAGTTGCGCCACCGTACACCATTGTCTTCAGTGAGTTGTTATCTCACAACAGACCGGTTGAATTCCACTGGTGGTCTAGCTTCAACTGACTCATGATTTCAACTTGTGAAATTTCTTAAACTCTCCACAAAAACCCATTCTGATAATGTGATAACATTTAATATTCCACCACCACAAGTTCAAATGAGAAAAAATGAACTGAACTCAGAAGTAAGGCGAAAGTTATCAGGGGAACGGAACCAAACGAGATTTTTTTCAAGTAGACCCCAAAGTGAAGTCATACGATCGAAATTCTCACCCATATATCAATAAATCATGTGCAGCATACTATCCTAAGTGCCAATAAAAGTATGTCATTAAAGATTTCAATAAAGAAGAAAGAATAATAGGATCGACATTCAGAACTAAATTTCAGTTACTGTCTCTCAATGAATCAATTGAAAGAACTAACAATAAATAACAAATAAAATCCAAGATAAATAAAACAAGACAACTAACTAACGTTGCTTTAACTGATTATCAATTTGGTCATGAATAGTTTGCAATATGTCATGTGAAACTGAAATGTAAGAAAACAAACAAAATCTAACTGACATCTAAATTCATAGGTATGAAGAGTGAAATACTTGATAGATTTTTGATTGAGATTATGAATTGACTGATGTTAGACCATCATTGAGAACCTAGAAACATTGGACGGCCGTTCCGTCCTATCTTGAGACTCCTCAGCAGTGCGTATCCACGATCCCGCCCGAAGGATTCGAACCTAAGGCCTTCAATCTCGCGCGCGAGCACTTAACCTATTGGACTACTGAGTCGGCGTCCAATGGTGTTAATGTATAACCCCAACCAATCCACGAAATTGCGAGACCATCTTTTATTATACTAAAGTATACAACTGTTTCTACAGGACGAGGATTCACACCACTGGTCACAGCTTCTCACCAGAACTTCGAGAATTTTCTCACAAAATTAGTCACTGGTGAAATACTTGATAGATTAATGAAAATCGAATAATGAGTAGATCTATAATGTGAGTGATAATGTAATGTTTGAAAGAAATAATTTACATTCACTGTGTTTATTGTTGCAATCAACAACTATGTCAGTGTCTGTTTCCGTTTGAATTGAACTTCTCAAATATCATACAAGTAACAAAAATTTCAGTTCTAGAGGTCTAGTCTAACATGAATTGTATTCTCATGTTTCCATATCTTCATTTACCTTCATGTTCTACTTAACTAACTGACTGAACATTTCTCAATGTAATGATGGTATAGATTCATATGACTGGGATTTGGATTAGTGAATTGAATGAGAAGTATTTGTCCATTATGTTAAAAATCTAATTGAATAATCTCTTATCTGTCATAATCAATATACATCCAGAGAACAATTACAATACTCACATAAATAAATGTTGCATACACGTATTTTCCCATATCGATCTCGTAGTAAAACATCAAGTCTACGGAAATTGTAATGTAGTTGTTGATTATCTATGAACAATGAAATATACAAATGTGATTCATGTATTGGAATGTGTATGGATGACAAAGACAGGTATATTCATTTAGAAAATTTACCTTTTATATTGTTAGAATTGGGTAACGGGCAAATTTCATTTTTGTATTCATCCACCAATTCTGGATAGGTGTGAGAATGAAAGTACAAATGTTACAGAAAATATTAGAATTATATGGATTTATAATATTCGTTTGTAGAATTGTTCAATCTATAAACAACAAGTTAACTACCTTCATCACCATCATTATTTGAAAAATGATTTTGAACGAGCCGAAATGACGTAGAAGCTACTAGGTGAACGGTCTGGATAGATCCTTTGCCTATATATCAATCAAGTTACATACAGCCCGAATGACCCCCCATTAGTCATTCCATCTGTGTACTGTAAGGGCTAGCATATAGCACAGGTCTCTTAGGTCGAAAAACAGGAGTAGTTCCAGATTTGTGGTTTGACAATGCCTTGTCTTCTGTACATTCTCCTAATACTTCTGTAAACACGTGGTGGTGTCTTTGTAGCTAGGCATTATTCTGGTCGAGCTCAATCTATAAACAACAAATCAACTATCATTCATTATCAATATTTCAACGAATAGAAATGATGTAGAAGCTAGTAGGTGAACAGTCTGGTTGGATGCTTCTCATATACATCAATCACGTTGCATACAACTCAAATAAGTCGCATTAGTCAATTTTATCTATCCTCAACAGCATATGTAATTTCACGTGTCTGTGATTCGCACGACATCGAGGAACCTTAGATCATTGAGTGATTCATCACACACAAAGTATCATCAATTTCAAGCATTTCAGTTATATATTTGCTCTGTACAGTGTAAGGGTAGCTACTTGATTAACGCAGAACACAGTATAGAACAACAGCACTTGGGTGTATAGAACCCCCCACAGCTGCAAACCACAAGACGGAAGAAGACTAGTGTAGTGCTTGTTGGGTAATAATCAAAATGTACGGAAAATCATGAGTATTTATAGATATTAGCGTTTGTCTTACCAACATTATGATTTAGCCAATCCACAAATATATATATATATATATATATATATATATATATATATATATATTATACTACTGTGAAATAGTAGCATGTCACGTTGATATTCTGCAAAGCTCCATCAAGTTCTGAGCAGATGGAAAAGTTTCGGCTCCTTCAGGGACTCTGAAGGCTACGTCAAAGTTCTCAGAAGCCATCTCAACAATCATCGTTAAATAATTTAAAAGAAACATATGTGTCAAACACTCGTTAGTAAGTATTCACACTCACTTTCATAAACCGACTGTTCTTCAGTGAAACATTTCTTCACTTCATCGGAATTTCGAACAGTTGTTCCTACAATTCAATAGTCAAATAAGAAGGTTTACATTCGATAAGATTACAGAACCGCAACTATGTAGCACAGAGAGTTCTTCATCACAGACATTCAACCACATTAGAAACATTTACAAATAAATGGAGTGTTGATGTCAAGTACATTAAATGATGCTTGTGTTGCCTTACAAACTGCACTTATCATCAGCACACTTCAAATATTGTGAAAATGTTGATGAAATGGCATGAATACCGTTTCAACTGTCAAACACGATCAGTACACTGGAGGAAATTACACATACCATGTATGTTTTCTTGTGTTCTCATTTCAGTGATTAACTCTAAACATTGTAGAACAAGAGAATTTAAAGTAGCAATGAAACACATTGGATGAGAGATAAATTTGAGTGATAAATCATGTTTCACTTTTCTATCATTTATTTATTTACTTATTTATTCCGAAATATTTTATTCGTAAATTCATTACATCATTCCGACAATTGATGTGAGAATTTGGCGACAATGATCGAAATGCTATGATGTTGAGATGCTTATCACGAGACTTGGTACGAGGCAATATCGGTATTTGTATTGGTGTGAAACCAACAGTTTGAAATATGCCCACTGAACAAACACTCTCTGTTTGTGTTTGTGTGTCCGATCACCTCATCTGTATGCGTAATTGATGTGAGTTGGTCGAATGTTGGAGGTGTGTTTGTTGTGAAACACTCAAATACTGTCGAACTCTATGCACACTGTTGCCATGTGTCATGTTACAGGTTCTACAGTTGAGTCTAGCTACAAATCCTATGTCTGTAGCCTACATATACCTCAAATTTTCATCAGTCAGTCAGATACAACGTGTGACCAGGCACATATGTGCATCGGTACAGGTTGCCATACCTCATTAGCACAGCAAGATGAACACCGGATTCATAGGAGTGGTTAGGTCAAATGTGGTAATATATAGGAAAAGATTGCAATAAGGATATAGTACAGGAATAAAAATTTAGTACGTAGAAAGAATGATATGAAGTGATTTCAATCTCTTAGTTTAAGGGAAGATAGGGAGTGTATACACCGACGCCATTGTGATCGATTCTGAGCCATGTCACTAAGAGTCTCCAACCATTGGTTACGAAAGTCGCGCGGACTCCAACCAAGTTGTTTCCATCTACCAACGTGGCTCAGATTAGAAGTTTGTGACTTCAAGCACTGATGCCTCGTTTTGGTTTGGCCGCCCCTATCTTTCTTCCAACCATATCCAGTACCGGTTGGCATTGCACGTCGTGGTAATCGGTGTTCGGGCATACGTAACACGTAGCCCAACCATCTCAGTCGATGAAGATCCACAACCTCATCGACTGATTTACCATTATTCCCTAATAACCTGCACATAATCTCATTATTACTTACCCGGTGATCCTAGCAGACGCCAGCAATATTTCTAAGGCATCTGTGATCAAATACTACCAGCTTACGAGCGTCTTCTACTCTTAATGGCCATGTTTCACTGCCGTAAATTAAAACAGAACGGACTGCCGCGCAATATACTCGTCCTTTTATTGATAAACGGATATCTCGCCTTTGCCATAGGTGACGTAAGTTGGCAAAAGCCAAACGAGATTTTCGAATCCATGCTGAGATTTCGTCAGACACCAACCCATTAGGTCTGATCAGACTTCCAAGATAAGTGAAGTTGTCAACGTGTTCGACTACTTCACTCCCTATCCTTAGTTCAGGTGTTGATGCAGACCAGTCCTGAAGCGACAACTTGCATTTAGAGGGAGAGAAGCGCATTCCAAACATTCTGGCATTGTTGCTTATTGCTACCAGAAGACTCTGCATTTTGTCAGCGTCTTCACCAAACGGGACTATGTCATCTGCGTATTCTAAGTCGATAAGTGGACCTCCTGGAAGGAGATCAATACCCGAGAATTCAGTAGACGAGACTGTTATTTCCATCAATAGGTCTATGATGAAGTTAAACAAAAATGGAGAAAGTGGACAACCTTGACGGACACCACTTGAGGTTGCAAAAGCAGAAGACAGTTCGCCATAAGCTCTGACTCGACTAGTAGTGTTCGACTAAAGAGCCTTCACAAGGTTTATGTACTTCTGGGGTATGCCTTTCAATGACAGATACTGCCACAGAATCTCGCGGTCTACCGAGTCAAATGCTGCTTTTAAGTCAAGAAAGACCACCATCGTCGGACGCCGATAAGTATGCCTGTGTTCTAGAACCTGACGAATGGTGAATATGTGGTCGATGCAGCCACGACCAGGTCTGAAGCCAGCTTGATTTTCTCGTGTTTGCAGTTCACGAGTTTTAGTTAGGCGTCTGATTATTATTGAGGCTAGTATTTTAGATATTATATTAGTTAAACTAATCCCTCTGTGGTTGTCACAGGATGATTTTGACCCTTTCTTATATATTGGGACGATAAGTGATTGCGACCAGTCAGATGGGATAACGTCTAACTCCCAGATCTTAGCCAAAATGTTAGTCAACCTAATCGCTAAAATTGGACCACCATCCTTAAAGACCTCTGGAGTCAATCCATCTGTACCAGCTGCCCTTCCTCGTTTCAGATTAACTATAGCGTTCTCAACTTCAGCAAGAGTTGGGGGACCAACTTCAATGTTCCATTCACATTGTCTGGGAATTGTGGGTAGTTGTAGAGTAGATGAAGGCCAGTTGAACTGTTCTCTAAAATGTTCCGTCCATCGTTATAAACGTCTGGACTGGGAGCAGATGAGAGTATCGTCTTTTTCCGAAATAATCTCACTTACACTTGACTTATTAATTCCAGTTTCTTTTATTAGTCTGTAAAGGTGTCTTGTGTTCCCTATAGCTGCCGCCTTTTCCATATATTTTGCTTTCGTTACCCACCACCGCTCACGGTCGTTCCTTAAACTTTTTCTTAACCTAGATCTGATTTCCTTACGCTTTTCATCATGTTCAGAACCTGATGGGACGAGTTTGCGAGAATCCATCAGTGTGATAGACTTTGAAGAAATCCACTGGTTCTTTGTAACTCTGTGGTTTAAGTCTCTGATAGATGTCACTGCTGTTTCCACAGCTGATTTTATGCCTTTCCAAGCAACATCTGGGTCAACCTCGTCTTCAGAACTACCTTAGTGTGACCTCAGTTGTTCCTGGAACCTACTTTTGGTTTTCTCGTTACTCAATTCATTTCTAACGGGTCTCTTTAATGTGGCTTTTTTGCGTCCAGTGAGGCGCAAGCAGATGCGTGCCCGTATTAGGGCGTGGTCGGAGTCCAAGCAGGTACTCCAGAATGAGTGACAATCTTCTACCGACGATCTCCAACGATGACTGATGGCAATATGGTCTTTTGAGTCCATCGTTGGTCTGGTGTAGGGGGTCGCCATGTTAGACGATGTCTCTCCTTATGCTTAAAATTTGTGTTTGCTAAAAATAAGCGATTGTCTGAGCACAGTTGCAGCAGACGGTCACCACTATCTGTTCGCTGTGCCGGAATGCTAAAATATCCACCTAAATGCCTTTCTGTTTGGTTTAAGCTACCTAACTGAGCATTAAAGTCACCCCCTACGAGTACTATGTCTGAGCGTTTAGCTTTCTGAAGAAGTTCAGATAACTTTCTGTAAAATTCATCTTTCACATCATCTGAGCTGCAGTCAGTGGGAGCGTAGGCAGAAACGACAAAAAAGCAACAACGTGTGTCCCTATCATTCCGAGTTTTTACGGAGCCGTTTAGCCGAACAGCACATAGACGACTGTTGACGGGGATCCACTCTAGCAGTGCTTGTTCCGCCCTCGTGCTTAGTGCTATGCCTACACCTGCCAGTCCACGAGAACTGGCCATCGGGTCACCAGATACACGTAGGGTGTATCTCGTTGGCTCTCCGTTTTGCCGAGGTGAGGTCAAGTGAATGACCACACTGGAATCCTGTATGCGTGTTTCGGAGACACAGCATACATCGATGGAAAGAGACTCTAGGGTTTTAGCCAAGGAAGCCTGCTGACCGATTTGACATAGAGTGCGTACGTTGAAAGCTCCAATGTGTAGTTTTAAGCGAGGTTTCATTAGACCTGGGACAGAGTTTTGAGCACTAGAATCGTTGGCTATAGTGACACTTGAGGAAGAAGCCGAAAGAGGAAGTTTAGGGTTGAAGGTCGATGTAGGAGAAATAATAGGGATTGAAGAGGGAGGCTGATTATGAATACAGTGGTCTTGAGTGCTGTTAGAGGTATGAGAGTGGTTATCACTTCCCGGTTGCCCACACCGTGGAAGGGTTCTTCTGGAGGTACCTGAAAAGGAAATCGGATTAGAAGTGGTCTTAGTGACCAGGGAGCGTGACCGCAGTGCCCAAGGGACAACTGTTTGAGGTCGGTCACACACGACTTTTTTATGGGCAGTTTTTGTGTTAGCTCCGTGCTTGCTGAGACCTTACCGCCGAAGACGGATATCTGTGGGATAAAGCGAGGTGTGTATTTTTAAGGTCGACCTTTTCTAACCCCACCCCTCCTTGTAGGAAGGCAGCATTGCTGTCTGAAGGAAAACACCTTACTGCTGTCACACCTCTGTACAGTCAGCAGTACGACTTCGCCTTCGGAACTTGGGTTTGTTGCTTTTAGTCTTACCGCTCTTCAACCGACCTGTCTGACATGGTAGGACCTTGAGGAACGGTTGTTCCAGCCAGCATAGCTCGGTTGCTTCATCACAATAGGCAAGCCCGACCACCACGTCAAGGTAGCAACAACTATACTAATAATCAAATCATCAGATGCATAAATACTTCACACACATACACAACAACAACGACAACAACAATTTCCAGACGATCGAATTCATCAATTCCGAACTGAAATACATAAGTTACACACTGACCTCCCATAAGTATCTTTCGTTCAATAGATTGATAAATTTGACTTCTGCACGTCATATCTACAATCATCAAATAAATTTGTTTGATTAGTTCATATTTCAACATACATTGGTCAATTGTTTGATTTTCAGTTGACAATTGCATATTGATTTTATCTGAAAGATGAACGATAAGCGATAAGTCGTATATCGATTTAACCGGCAATATGATCATTTATCTGTTAATTGCTTACCCGTCTATGCTGTGTACATTTCTACTTGCTTAAATGAACTTACCTTTCAGATCTAGTAATTTTTTCTCGTTTGTTCTGAAATTTTCGATTAGTCTATCTAAATCTTCTACAATTTAAAAATCGTTGAAATGAGACCAACAATAATTATTAGTACTAAATGATGATTATGTGGATATGTTCCATTGCATTCTATTTTAGGCATACAGATCAAAGTAGCATTCATCAAAATATTCAACTAACTATACTTGTGAATTCGAATCATTCTAGCAAAATAATAATTGTCCGAATGTAATCCTTATAGACTGTGACGAATAAGTTATTAGAGTTAACCTCTTCAGATGTTGTCTTCACGTTTTTCTTTTTTTCCTTCTCATTTTTCTGTATTCCCGTGTTTTGTAAAGGAAACTTGTTGAGAATTCTATGTTAGATTCGAAATATAATACTGAATGAAGCCAATAATAGTAATGATAATAATAATCGTTTGAAATAGTGCAGGTGCATCTAATGTTTGTGTTCTGCCAAATTCTAATCTTCTCAATTCTTCACATCCCTTTCTTGTTTTTCTCTTTCCAAATTTATTTCACTGTATTATACTATTTGAATAACATCTTCAAACCCTAATTTTCCCCATTACTGCGTGTACTCTTACTACCTATACCACTATGAGATTTGGATGGACTATTGTATCTTTGCTCTAATGTGGTATGTTAACTCGAACTGATATACGTACATACGTACGAAGTTATACGTTGTCACCGACTGACTGACTAATTGAACATCTGGTGGACCTAGATTAAACATTACAATTTCATTTTAAATATATGAAATTAATATGCTTCATAAAGTGTAATGGATAGGATAGGATAAAATAGATAAACATGATATATTCAACGTACGTTTACAATATACTATCGACATTTCTACATTAGATTTTCTGTGTTCTAAATTATCTGTAAACATAGTGAAATGGATGATTCTCAATCATACATATAAATGGTGATTTTTTGAAAATTTTTTTCAAAAATAAATTCAGTTTCTATGTAAATATAATCCACACCCAGTGACATATTTATCACAAGCTACGTTCGTTAGATGGCGGCTCAGTAGTATAGTTGGTTAAGCGCCTGACGCGTAACTGATAGATCCTGGGTTCGAGCTTTGCGGGGTGAGGGATCGTGGGTGTGCACTATCGAGGAGTCCAATACTAGGACGAAACGGCCATCCAGTGCTTCCAGGTTTTCCATGGTGGTCTAACTTCAAGTGATACACGATTTCAATCAGTGAAAATTTTCTAACTTTGTTCGTTATTGTCTGGTTTGTAATCTATTTATTCATGTATATTTTTACACTAATCTGAAATCGGGAACCAGATTGGAATTGAGAATAAATGGTGTATTGTTCCAGTTGACTTGTTTTTTCTCACTCGTGTGCTTGTCAGCCAATCAGTTGATAGAATAGTTCACGTCTCTTTATCCCAATCAGTTGGTCTTACTTCGAACTCACACATACTAGCCTCGAGGTTAAGCCAGTCAATCTATCGCATTAAGGTTTTAATCTAGATTAGACAACTTATCCTCTGCACAATAGTGGGCAGACATATTAAGGACGTAACAGTTTTGTTCGGTTAATGTGCACAATCCTATTTACGTGTAAATTATTTCAATGATTAAGATCATGAGTCAGTTGAAGCTAGAACACCATGGAAAACCTGGAAGCACTGTATGGCCTTTTCGTCCTATTTTTGGACTCTTCAGCAGTGCTCACCCACGACATCGCCACCAGAACCTACTGGTTTCGCGCGCTAGCACTTAACCATTAGACCACTGAGCAGGCCGGTATCCAACGGTGTTAATGTCTAACTTCAACCAATCCATGAAATTGCGCCACTGTCTCACAACAGACCCGGTTGAACTCCACTGGTCACTGATTCTGACTAGAACTCCAGGAAATACCTCTTGAAGCCATTCACTAGTGATCATATATTGATTAATATCAGATGGATTTTGTGGATATTATAGTAATTTCAATGGTTGAAGATAGGCCACCATGGAAAACCTAAAAATTATTGACCACATGTACTAATCATTAAGAAAATAGAATGGTGTTGAATAACGATAAATAATTGCAGTGATATTGAGTAATGAATTGCTTACAAAAATACGAAATTGAGAGGAAGTTGTATAATGATGCGATAGCTTATAAACAATGTTTTATCCAAGGTGGTCAGCCACTGGACAGACGATGAGAACAAAGTAGACAACAGTTGTAGTCATCAAAATTTATTGATCGTGAACAATTATAGTGAAGGAGTATAAAGAAAAATAAAAGATTATGGAAGACGGAAAAGAATGTTAAGACCATGGTAAATGATGAACTGAACATTGAGTTTTTTACACGGAGGTTAGTCTTGAATTGATGGGAAACTATAGCCTCTTCTGTACATCAGTTCTCATTTGTGTTCATTTTCAACGAATTTCTCTGACTGTTTGAATGATTTCGAATGATAGTTCTGGAACAGCATGACTCGATACCACCACAAGTGTTTTTCATTATTCAACAACATTCTCTTCCATCACACAGTACTAATTTAGGTGAATTGATTGAATACAAAGACGATTTTACATTCTATTCAACTGGAATCGTCGTAAAGAATATTTGAGCGGCCTATGCTCCTTCAAAACTCTGCCCGAAGTCCCTCCGGGGGCTACTGCCGGTCCCAAGCCAAGATAAAGGAGGAGGGTTGGGCATGGAGTTAGCATCCCCATCCCGTAGAAAACAAAGTCGCTAAAAAACGCTAACCAGAAATGCTCCTTCACGGGGAGTAACAGGCGTAAGATGATGATGATGATGATGATGATGATGATGATGATGATGATGATGATGATGATGATGATGATTTTTCGTTGTAGTGCTTGTTTTATTTTTATTTAATCATACTAGACGTCTTTTTCGTCTATTAATGACAGTAGTAGAGCCTATGTTTAATGATTGTTTTTATGTTTTTCCATGAAACGTATTAGATAATCTGTTATGTTTTAAGCTAAACGATTATCGCAAAATACGATTTTCATTTTAGATACATTGACTTATGCGACTATTTTAATGAGGCATATACCGGTATGGGAACCCTAGAGTCTCAGTCGCTTCTCGTTTCTCTCAGTTTTGCTTGTTAATTTCAGAACACAAATCTCAGTGTCCGAGATACGAGTTATCTATTTCAGACATATTAGGTTTATATACAAATAAATCAGACCATATCATACCATAAAATAGAAAATACACATTTGTACATGATCTAGCCAAAAAGTATCTGTGAATGGCAGGTATATCTCAAGAATAGTAAATCATATGATAATAGTCTGCAGGTCAAATAAAAGCTTATTATGAAAGAAATATGAATATACATATAATATAGTTGCTTAATAGTTATACAATAAGGATATACGTATAATATTAGTCCATAAACAGATCCCAACGGTTACCTTTCATTATTCTCGTTCGGAGATAAAACAACCGATAAACTATAGTGAGGTCTCGTCAAATTTCATTTATCCTTTCACTTGAATATAAGTGGATTGGACATGAATAATGATAAGACAACGTAACTAATGGAACATGTGATGCATGATTGTTGTTCCGAGAGGATTTAATTTACAAACTATATATTTGTTTATTACAAAATCTGCCTAAAGCATGTTCATATTTTACTTGTCATAATTTCAAATAAGATGTAATCATGAATTCATTATCTCTGAGACGAAATATTTTGCACAACGTTTTGTTATAAATTTTTTATCATGTTCATACTACTTGTGCTACACTCATGTAGTAGTAATATAAAAAATGTGTATAATTAAATGATTCTGAATAACACAATCTACTTCTTGATATACCATTGTAAGTACAAGTGAGATTCATGAGGAGAATGATAAGATAGTGGTTGGAGGTAGCCAACTCGAAACTCTGGACCTAGGTTTCATGCTACTTTGCACTCATCAACAAGGGTGTATCTGTAATCTTGATGGAAGTGATACTCTCTGATGGATTCAATCTTGTTTCACCTAGCTTCACAATCAGAGATTTCGAGTCACCTAGATTGGTGGTCACATTGTAACTTAAACAATAGGATTCGATTTACACTCAGAAAGACCTGATATACATGAAATTGATCACTACCTAGTGATCAATCAATTGTGAGTACAGTGATAATCACTTATCAACTACAACTAAATACAGTAAGTGAAATAGAGAGAATCCATTAACAAATGATGATAGAAATCAAATCATCATTAAAAATCAAATATAATGCCTATTTGGTTGACGTTTCAATGTTTAACGATTGGTTATATTTTAGATGTATCTTTATTTAAACTATTGATAATTGAATATTGATACGGTGATATAAACATTAATTATGTAATTTTAAATAATTCTGGTAAGTATATATCCCTACTTTATTCCTTCGATTCTTTTGTTTTGGAATATGAATTTCATCACAAATATATATTCTTGCTTATATTTAAACACTTCATTAACTTAGGCGGCCTGGTTGAATATCTGGGCTATTTGATCCTGCCATCTAGATATTGTAACCAGTTTTAGAATGCAAACTTGGATAGTGGCTAGCAGTGGATTCCAGAATGCACATTTCATTCTATTTGGGACTCGTCAGCTGAATGTACTTACATCTCAGAGTTGATGTTCACTCTGAGATTCTAGGATTCAAGTAAAACTTTACCAAGTGAATTTTAACTAGTTATTTGGTTCTTTGATTGTTTTAATAAATCATTATTGTCAATTAATTAAATAACCTATTCAAGTGCGTTTGTGAAACGTTTACGAGATTTCACTGTACAACTTACAAAAAGCCTAATGAGCGACACCATAGTTGCTGGCAATATGCATCGAAAAGAATGAACATTATTCGGATGTCGATTCCTGAACTACTAACATCTAACTGGCGACCAGTCAATATTGATCGTCAACCACGAAATAAGAAACAAAAATTTGTCGTAATATTTTGTGCTGGGAATTATTCTATATTGTACCAAAAATATAATACTGAATAAAGTTATATATTCATAGTTACGTAATGTACCTTTGTGGGCCAGGGTACTTTTACATTAGTTTTCAAGAGAACCGGACACCATCCAGACTTTCACGTAACAACTCAAACAGTACAGCTCAATTCCATTTAACAAAAGAGCCAAACACCGCTCAGTCTTAACACAATCAGTACAACTCAGTCTTACTTGCAGGAGAGTCAGACACTACCCAGGCTTAAAATTTGTAATCCAAACAGTACGGCTCAATTCCATCACCAGGAGAACCAGATACTATTCACGCTTAAACTTTATAAACCGAGCAGTATATCTCAATCCTACTTCACCAGACATCATATAAGCTTCAACATTACAATCTAAACAATACAGATCAATCCTGTGGTGCAACCACACAGGTATCTAGCATCCTGATGAACCAATTGAATAAAACCAATGATAATAATAATAACTTACCATCTTGAATTGATGAATGGATCCAAAAGAGTAAGAAATGAATATAAATGACAAAGTTGTAACACATTTGAACTGAATTACTTCTCATTGTATTCTGTGTAATTATTTATCTATTCAGAATAGTTAATTATAGAAATTATATAATATATAGGTGTTTACTTAAATGATACTGATTCGTTGTTTTATTCTATATTATAAAATATAAGAATTATCATTGACTAGTTCATTTCATAAAGGAATTTATTAACTGATCTTGTTTATTATGTATTAATTAGGTTAATATGAAATAAGTGAATCCAATGATTAGTCCAATGATTGATTAACCATATGAATTACAATTTATTAGGTGATAGGATCAAATTAAAATAAATTAGTTGAAATTATGAGTTAATTGAAGCTAGACCATCATGGAAAACCTAAAAACACTGAACGGCCATTTCTTCGTAGTATGGGACTCTTCCATGGCAGTGCGCATCCATAATTCCGCCCCCTCTGAGAGATTCGAACCCAGGACCTATCAGTCTCGCGTGCGAGCACTTAACCATCCAACGGTGTTAATGTCTAACTTCAACCAATCCACGAAATTGCACCACCGTCTACCATTGTCTTCAGTGAGTTACTATCTCATAGTAGACCCGATTGAACTCCACTGGTCATTGATTCTCACTAGAACTCCGGGAAATGCCTCTTGAAGTCAGTCACTAGTGAGCACATTGTAATTATCACTATTAAATTGAATAAAACTGTACTTGTTACCAGATAAAGAACAATAACTTGTAAGTTGTGGGCACTCAGTTGATTGTAGTCAACATGGAACCTGGGATATATCTACTATCTTCTATATACTTAATGTGTAAATTTTGTTGAACATTACATATTCATATCAATTGCTATATTAGGTAAATATTTTTAATCAACATATACTCACTAGTGAATGGCTTCAAGAGGCATTTCCCGGAGTTCTAGTGAGAATCAATGACCAGTGGAGTTCAACCGTGTCTACTATGAGATAGTAACTCAGTGAAGACAATGGTGGACGGTGGCGCAATTTCGTGGATTGACTAAAGTTAGACATTAAAACCGTTGGATACCGGCCGGCTCAGTGGTCTTATGGTTAAGCGTTTGCGCACGAGACTGATAGGTTCTGAGTTCGAGTCTCGTGAGGCGGGGCGGGATAGTGAATACGCACCGCTGATGGGTCTCATACGGGGACGAAACGGCCATCCAGTGCTTCCTGCTCTTCCATAGTGTTCTAGCTTTTATTGACCCACAATTTCAACCACTGAAATTACTAAAATCTCCACAAAGCCCCATTTGATAAAATGAATTACTTAAATTTATATTAATTCATAGTTTGATAGATTATTAGTTTGGATAGTAGAATTCAATTGAGTCAAGTTTCTTATTTATGAATGATTATTATAAATTTTTTACTTAGAATGTTCTTCTAGAAATTTTGATATTCAAGAGATGTATCGATATGTTTGTAATAAGGGTAGGTCTCTAAATACTTACTTACTATTATTTACGAAAGTGAGAGGACGAAAAGCGAATGCCTGATGCTGGAGGAAGATCTTATCAACAGTTCATTGGATTGGTGTGTACATGTTTTTTTCATTCAGTTTTCATGTCTCTGACATTTACAACGTCACTGTCAATGAATTCAATTGGTTAGATGCCAATTTCATCATTGATTCTTCTTCTTCTTCATCATCATCATCATATCACTGACTGTTAAGTGTTGTCTATTTATGATTCCTTTCTCTTTTCGCTTCCAATGTTCATTTCGGCTACCAGATTATAAACGTAATGTAATCACACTATGAGTGAATGATAAGGACTCAAATTACAACATGAATACGGTTGAATTGATCTTTGCGTTGCAACAACATTAACACTTATTAATAAGTCATGACATATAAAATTATCTATCGGAACTAATCAACAGTTCAGTTCATTCAAATCATAAATAATACTGTGGTATGCGCTACTCATGTCGATAGATATAAGTACTGTGTATCACCAATCAAAAGTAGAATGTCTGATAGCAGAGGTTTGATAAAATCGAAGAAACGAGAACGAGAGCAAAGAGTGATTGGTTTGTAAAGGAAGGAACAACAGAGTGTGAGACAATAGATAAATATTTTACAAATGAAGCATTATAGTATGGTTCTAAGACTTTGCCAAGATATTTTGATGTGTTAAATTAGTGTGCACATGGTTGTCCCCAAGTGTGTTCTCGTTCACTATAATACCACATAAGGTGATAAATGATCGAATATGAAAGGTGGATTTTCAGATTGTTACAAGATTAAGTATGAATGTTCGACTTCAGACAAAGATATGAATCGATTAAAATACGCTGATTTCTTCTTGGTTGTGACATTGATATACATAAAATGAAGTTTCTGTATTGACTGAAAGATTCTACGGAAAATACATCTTGATAACATGATATTCAATTATTACTCTTAATGTATTCGTTGAGATGATGGTGAAGATTTGTAGCTCAGGTGGATGATTTTGATGAAGTTTTGTTCTCTGAACTCGATGGTTTGGTCGTGCAGCTTTCATCGTTCTTCTGAATGACATCATCAGCACAAACTTCAGTTAGAAGTGAAGTGTTCGAATTTCTCCGCATGTGGTTTACACCTTGTCCTGAAGACCTCCATATTGATTGGTTCTTATTAACCTTAAATCCAAACACTTCACTTCTACCTGAATTTTGTACTGATGATATCGTTCAGAAGACCGATGAAAGCAACACGACCAAACCATTGGGCTCAGAGAACAAAATTCAACCAAAAACTGTATTCGTTGTTGAATAATAAAAAGTAGTAAACTAGATTGTGAAAATTGTGTTTTTAAGTCACTTAAACGTCTTCCATAAATTATAGTTTCATCTTGTTCACCCCTATAATGCTCACCTTTATTGATATGTACTATTTTGATGGTTGTGCTTGACTTCATTGATGGTGGGGTGTTTTTATATTGTGTCCTTTTCAATTGTTCTTCAACATAAACTTCTATTGCAAAAAACTAAAGATTACAAACAACAGAAACTATCTAATCACTAACCAGGGCTCATAGATTAATTTGTATAGACTATATCAACAACTGATTGATCACTGGGTTGTGATGAATGTCGTACGTGTCAGGTCCTTCTTAATGCAGATTGAATCCTATCGACCGAGTTGTAGTGTAGCTACCAGTCTAAGTGACTCGACATTTCGTGCGCTATGTTGAGATAAGATTGTGGTTGGAGGTAGTCAATAGGAAACAATGAACCTAGGTTCCGTGCTACATGAAACTCGTTATTAAGGTGTACTTGTAATCTTGAAGAAAGTGATGCTACCTGACGGATTCGATCCCATGTCGGCCAGCCTCACAGTCAGAGCCGTTACTAATGAGTTAGCCTCTATTGTTTAATTTAGTTATTCATTAGTATTTTCCAGATATTGACAGTATTTTCTATGAATTTATCTATACTTTTTTATGAATAGTTAATCATTAATTTGGGACAATTAGATAATTTAAAAATAGAAGGGAAATAGACGAATTATAAGCAAAGATAGATGGTGGCTAGCAATGGAATTCAGGAAACGCGTTTTGTTTTATTTGGGAATTGCAGCTGGATGTACCTGTGAACATCAACTCTGAGATGCAGGCACATCCAGTTGACGAATCCCAAATATGACGAAGTGGTACGCGTCCTGAATTCCACTGCTAGCCACTATCCATCTTAGCTTGTAATTCTTAATGTAATGAATACAATAACAGATAAGTGTTTATCAAAATGTTATAATCCATCAATTAAATTGTTCTAATCTATACCATAAATAGTTCAAATTAATTGTCAGAAATGTATCACAATAACAAATGATAAAATAGAAAGTCATTAAAACAACACACCAACAAAGAATTCTATAAGTAGATGTTATAACGCATGGCTTTCTATCTCTACTGGAATGTGACGTTAATTTAGCTTAGACGAATACCTACACTAGATTCCTTTCCAGTGTTTATTGTACAGGAATTTAACACAATTCAGATCAAGAACACGTGACTCGGCTGACTAGAAAGTAAGCATATTTCCACAACAAAAATCTGCAACAACCACAGTAAGACAATATATAACTGATCTATTACCTGTCAGACTATCTCTACAAGTCAGATTGAACAAACAACTATTCATTATCATCTTCGCCCACACAGTAGACTATCAACATTCAGTCAAGAACATCAATGACCTTATTTCTTTCATTACTGATAACTTAAATTAGGTTATACAAAATGAAGATTATTTAGAATTAAAAACAATAACTAACTATACACTATAGATTAAAATACCTAATTTTATACCAACATTTCACTCATGATGGCCAAGTTGATTACTTTATATTTACTACTACCAAATAGTATGCTTGAATATTTATCATGATGATAGATAAAGTGTTATAATTGAAAAGGAATTTCTACGTTTGATAAGATACAATGTTGACATTGTGTTGAACTATAATCAGAATGATCATAGAAACCGAAACAAATCAGTTGCGATAGAAGGTCTATAGAGAAGTATATAGAAGTAAAGGAGATGGCTGTAAAATAAGGAGAGAAAAGAGACAAAATGTCAAGAGAAATTATAACTATGCTAGAATAAGAGATTGTAGAGGTACATTTTGTATGGTAAGTGATTCGATAAAACTGAAAAGATGCAATCTATTTTAAGAAGGTTTCTACTAATCTTGTATATGACTTTATATAATGAGTGCGTTCTGATTGAATGACTTATGTTTGATTAAAGAGCTTCTTGGTGAGAGGTTTCCGACTCTTTTCACCCAAACCAGATAATGCTCTTGAATTATTTTAAATAAAATATGCAAAAAATCTTAAAGTGCATTAAACCAACCGGATCAACAAGTCCACGACTGTATAGTTTGCATAAAGTGAACCAACCTGAATTAACACTTCAACCAATTCAAGATATATCCGAATCTACCTACCACTATATAGCATAGAGGCTGGCAGATCCCTGGGAATCTGTATGAATACGAATTCATATCCGTTCTCCACATGAAACTTCCGAATTCATTGACTACATGAAAGAAGTAAATGTTAACGACAATCTAAAACATGATTCATATGATCATGATTATGAACTGGCTAAACTCCACCTGAAGTTCTTCTAAGATTATTGCCGGTTCCAGGATCTGGTGATGGAGAAGGGTTGGGCATGTAGTCAGTAACCCCATCCCTTAGAAAACAACATTGCTAAAAATATGTCAACTAAAATAAATAAATTAGATCATTTAAACTCTGCCTTCTGAATTGAAGCATCTTCTTTCATAGCAGCTATGACGCCTCATAACGTAAGCTGAGATCCTTTGGAAGACACGAAGACGATGCCCCGTCTAACAACCAGAGCAACAATTTTTATAGGTACATGGAATGTTCGGACAATTTGGGAGACCAAGTGGACTACTTGACGGTGCTCGAAATCGGTGAAACTCATTGGACTCAAGCTGGACAGTACAGGCTAGATTTGGGAAAGATATTGTTGTACACACATTCAGGGAGTTGCTCTGATGCTGTCCAAACAAGCAAGAAATGTACTTATTGGGTGGGAATCTCGTGCATCCAGGATCATCGAAGTATCCTTCAAAACAAAGAAGGAGCGAATCACAGTAAATGTTATCCAGTGTTATGCACCTATCAATGATAGCAATGACGAGGATAAAAATCAGTTCTATGAGAGGCTGCAATTGATCGTAGTGAAGTGCTCATGAGATGACCTGACCACTCTGATAGGAGACCTAAGCGCAACAGTCGTAATGGACAACACCGGGTATGAAGATATCATGGGACGGCATGGACTAGGTAAAAAGAATGAGAACGACGAGAAATTTTCAAATTTACATGCATTCAACCAAATGATTATAGGCAGCACAGTAATCCTACACAAACGCATGCATAAAGCTATATGAGTCACACCAGATCACAATACAGAGAACCAGACCGATCATATTTGCATCACTAAGACATTCAGAAGGTCAACGGAGGACATGAGAAACAAAAGAGGAGCTGACATAGCTTCAAATCACCACCAACTGGTGGTTACCAAGATGAAACTAAAGATAAAAAACTAATAGACAACTGAACAAACACCATTACAAAGGTTCAATGAAGCCTTCCTTAGACATACTGACAAACTCAACGAATTCAAGATAACGCTCAGCAATTGTTTTCAAGCGTTATAAGATCTACTCATAGAAGAAGAAACATTGACTTACTTACAGATTGGCCGCCGACCAGAATTCTCCAACTCACTCTCACCTGCGCCTTCCTTTACAGTTCTATCCAATTGTTATTCATTCTTCTCATGTCTGTCTCCATTTCTCGGCATAATGTGTTAGTTGATCTTCCTATTCTCATTTGGCCTTCAAGATTCCGAGTGACAACTTGTCTTGCAATGCAGTTCGTCGCGTTCGACAATGTGTGTTCTATCCACTTACAACGCTTCTTCTTCTTTATCACTTCTTCCTTAACTGGAATCTGGTTTGATCTCCACCACAGTTGGTTGTCGCTGATGGTGACTGATCAACCGATCCGAAGTATCTCGTGTAGACAACTATTACCAATAACTTGTATCTTCTGGATGATAGTTTTGGTAGTTCACCAGGTTTCCTCATCATACAGTACAACAATCTTAACATTTGTATTGAAAAATCTAACTCTGGTGATGGTTGACAATTGTTTTGAGTTCCAGATGTACTTCGATGGGTGATATGATGCTCTTACTTTGCCAATCTGCGCATTCACATCTGCATCAAATCCACCGTGTTCATCAATGATGCTTCCCAGATATGTGAAAGATTTTACATGTTCCGAAGCTTCTCCATCAAGTGTAGTTTGATTGCTGCATGATGTGTTGTATCAGAGAATCTTCCTTATCTTTTTGTGCATGTAAAGACCTACTGCTGCTGAGGTTGCTGCTGCTACACTGATCGTCTCCTTCATTTGTTGTTGTGTGTGCGATAAAAGAATCAGATCATTTGTGAAATCTGAATCTTCGATCTGTATCGTATCTGTCCACTGTATCCCATGCTTCCGCCCAGATGTTGACGTCTTCATGATCCAGTCGATTACCAAGAGAAAGAGAAAGGGTAAGAGTAAGCAACCTTAGCTTGAGTACTTTTATATAAACATATACATTTGTGTATATACTTTTATCACTTATTTTGTTCATCATATATGTTTATCTTATTTTTCTATTTTGCTCAAATTAGTCACCTTATCAAATCGAGTTGGCAACCACATTTTTGTCGCATAGATTCTTTTGTTGTCTGTCTACAATTATGAGTATATGAAATATTTATATGGCAAAATTTTACTTATATTTTATTCTATTATTCACCAATATGAATAAAGTTGATAAATATATAGGACAAAAGGAGGAAAATCTTATACATTATTATTCTTATTATATAATAAAATTGAAGTCAAATTGCCGGCCACAATAGACTGTTTGTTTGTTTGTTTGTTTTGTATAAACGAATATTACTCAGTTTTGTGGTGAAGTATCTAAATATTTCTCTCTCTTTGTTTTTTTTTCGGCAGTTGGCCAATCAATGACACATAGAATGGTACCATAAAATGGTACCATAGCAACAAACCGATATGATCTTCTAAGGTTATAAATACAGAAGAAAAAGGAAATAGTTTCGATAACAACAACAACAACAACAATGTATCGTACATTACTGTTTATTGTCAGTTTCTTTACTTTTTCGTTAATTAATTTATCAAACCAAGATGGTATGTATTATTATTATTCGTTTATAGTTAACTATTCAAAAGTACTTACTTATTGTCTATATTCATATTGTTTATACCATATTATAATCATGAATGTAGTTTATCATTCATAAAAGTATAACTATTCTATTAACTTGATCGTTGAATTATGAGTCAATTTAAGGTAAATCATCATGAAAAACTTTAGAAGCATTGGATAGCTATTTTATACTACTATGAGATTGGTTAAATTTAGACATGAACAACGTTGGATGGTGGCCGCTTCAGTGGTTTACATGTTAGGCATTCGTACGCGAGATCGAAGGTCATTGGTTTGAGTCCTTCGTGAAATATTGTTGATGTGCACTGCTGAATAGTACTATACTAGTAAAAAAACCCTTCAATCTGTTTTATTAACCTTTTCTTCTATTATATCTACAATGTGTAGAAAGATAAATATGAATGCCAGGTTATAATAATTAATAATTTGTAATCAATAACCAATAATTGTAACTCTCCCCTTTGAAGTTCAATGTAGAAATATTTTAATAGTTGAGATCATGTGTCAATTAATGCTGGACCACTATGGAAAAGCTGGAAGCATTGGATGACTGTTTCTTCCTAGTACGAGACTACTCAGCAGTGCGCATGCACGATTCCGCCTGACGAGATTCTAACCCAGAACCTACCAGTCTCACGCTCGAGCGCTAAACCTCTAAACCACTGAGCTGGTGGGTATCCAACGATGTCAATGCCTAACTTCAACCAATCCACGAGTATTTTAATTGTTCGCGCGTGAGACTGAAGGCCATTAGTTTGAATCCCATGAGCGGGATCGTGGATGCGCATTGTTGAAGAGTTCCACAATAAGACGAAACGGACGTCCAGTTCTTCCAGGTTTTCCATGACGGTCTAGCTATATATAACTATGTATAACTATATTATCAGAAAGCGAGTTTTGTTGTGATTTCATGAGTGAATTCATGAATCATTTAAATCTCCACATCCCTATATTAATATTTATTAATTATCAAAATATTATTCATATCATATATATTATCTTTATTTATACTCGATATCAACAAGAGTTCAACATAGTCATTAACGATATCATTAGGCAAATCTAATTCTATTTACTTTCAGTTGAAAATTTGAGATCCAAAAAATTATCCATGGAATATTCACTTGAACAAACTAGAAGTACGTATTTTTTTCTTTTGATATGAACAAATTTAGATGGCATTAGTTATATTGAAAGTATAATCATTGTTAACTAATTATTTTATTAATTTTAATGAATACTAAAATATATGAGTGATGACTAGAAATGGAATCCAAGACATATATTTTGTCCTATTTAGAACTTGTCCGCTGAATATACTTGCGTCCTAGAGTTCAATGCGAGACTTGAACACTGTAACGTTTAGCTCAATAATGATATTATTAATGTTAATACCGAATAAATTCAATGAATACAGTTTAGTATTGAGTTAATAAAACTATAACATATTGAAAGTAAAAGATACAAATGAACTGATTATTAAGTAGTAGTAGTAGTAGTAGTAGTAGTAGTAGTAATAGTAGTAGTATACCTTGTAGAATTTAAATCAATCATGGATTATCAGTTACGTTTAGATGATAAATAGACTACAGTAATAACAACTAGCAAAGGTAATATTTATAATAAATGATGTTATAAGATAACCCACTATGTTAAACAAGTGATCACTTCCGACCTGAAATGTTCTGTAGAAGGATTCAGAGTCATGAATACATATTTCTTCTTATTATATTGTTTCTTTTAGATCAAACTATAGACGACGTGAAATATGCGATAGACGCTTTAGATGAAATTGAGACATTACAAAGTAATTCAAATCTCTCCTTTTAAATAGATGTAGACATTTATACTATGACATTTATTACAGATAAAAATAATATATTTGTAATATCCCAATGAGTAGAAAGTTGGATTTTCTGACGTTTTGTGACTTAGTGTAAGTCACTTCTTCAGAGAATAAATAACCAAATTAAAATTACATCAACTTGTTTAGACCTGTTTTTTTATTGATCAAATATTTTTATTCTTGCATTGTTCCGTTGTACTATTTAAACTTGGATTAATTTTAATTTGGTTATTTATTCTCTGAAGAAGTGACTTACACTAAGTCACGAAATGTCAGAAAATCTAATTTTTCTAATCATTGGGATATTACAAATATATTATTTTTATTTATAACAATGAACCCAATGCTCAATTTATTCGAAATTATCAAATCAAACCTTGGTAATGACACCTATGACATTTATTATTATATTATCATCACTTCGGTATACTATACTAACATACAAATCTTAATTACTTAGCGTACGCCTATATCCCTCATGGAGGTGCATATATCGCTTACCACTATTCTTTTTCTAACTTTGTCATGGGCAATTGTTCCCAGTTATTATTCATCCTATTCATATCTACTCCCAATTCTAGATGTAATGGAAACGTATCATAAATAAGTAAATGACTAAATGCAAAAGTAGTGTATCAAGTGAGAGAACATAATTCACTGTGATAGATTTACATTTATATAATTGTTAATCGATTTCATGATTTAAAGAATGATATCATTATTATAGAGATTCATGAAATCTACTATGGATGACGCAAGTATACCTAAGTATCGTCGAGATAAGCAGTTTCATTATTGTGTTCGATACAAACAATTATCAAATATTCAATGTCTATTGTGAATATGAAGACTGATTGTGAATAGGTGTACAGTATTGTATGAGTATTGGAATTTATAGTTTGTATATTACAATGCATAAATAATCATGATGAAGGTTATAAATTTTCTTTTCCGGAAGTTGTTAAGATCGGTTCTTAGAATATCATAGTTTAAATACTGAACATGTAGTTCCATTCAATGAGTTGAACAGTTCACATAAATGAATAATGTAATCTAGATTAGTATTACATCATCATTAATACTGATTATTGAAAAACCAGGATAACTGGACAGCGGTTTCGTACTATTTTCCGAATCTTCAGCAGTGCGCATCCACAATCCCACTTGCGGGATTTGGACCTAGAGCATTCAGTCTCGCTCGCGAATGCTTAACCTACTGAACCACCAGACCGGTATCCAATGATGTTAGTATCAAACATCAATCAATCCACGAAATTGCCAAAATGACCTTCTATTGCGTCTAGGTTTCCAACGGTAGTCTAACATCAATCGGTTCATGATCGAAATCAAAAACTAAATGATCTCCACAACCCCTATACTAACTAGAATAACTGTATGATTCGGACAAATTGTATTGTTCTCAGATAATTCATGTATTTAAAGAGAAAGTATGTATTTGTAAAATCCCAAGTGAATAAATTTGAAGTAAATCCAACGTTTTGCCTGGTTATGTTTCATTGAAAAAGCTTGAACTAGATTACCAGACGAAACGTTGAATTTAATTCAAATTCATTCGCTTGAGATTTTACAAGTACATTCTTCCTCTTAAATGTCTCACATCGATTTGTCGCCCAAATACTGTGAAACTATCCAATCAAATTTGGATGAAATTTCTTATAAATTCATATATTTCTTTTAATTTTCTAACTAAATCAGAATGCTGAAACTCACTAGGTATTCTTTTACGTGAATCATCCCATTGATGTTTAGGACTGCAATTAATCAGTCTTTTTTGTTGGCATATGTGCATACTGTGTGTATTGCTTAGGTATTGTCTTAATTCGTAAGCATTATAAGCGAAGATGGATAGTGTCCAGCAGTGAGGTTGAGGAAGCGCGTTTTATCTTTTTTGAGACTTTTCAAATAGATGTACCTGCATCTCAGAGTTGATGATCACCCCGTGACTCGAACTCATTACCGTACGGGTACTAGGTAAGGATAGCAAACCAATTGATGAAGTAGTGAAACTTCATCAGTTGAGATGGCTGGGACACGTGTTACATATGCCCAACCACCGACTGCTTCGACGTGCCATGTTTTATGATGTAGCAGTAGGTTGGAAGTAAGATAGAAGCAACCAGACAGAAAACGTGGCACAAATCCATCAAGTCACTGGCAAGTGAACTGAGCCATGTTGGTAGGTGTAAAATACTTGGTTGGGATCCTCGAGACGATAGAAACCAATGGTTAGAGACCTTGAATGACATATCAAAATCATTCGCAATGCCGCAGGTGCATCTACTCGCCAATTATAATCTTCTGAAATCTCCGTGTCCTTTTCTCTTTTTTCCTTCTTCAAATTTATTTCACTGTTTTATACTCTTTGAATAACATCTTCAAACCCTAATCTTTCCGATTACTGCTTAGACTCTTACTACCCTTACTACTACGGGATTTGAGTCGACAACTGCATCTCTGTGCTAATGTGATATGCCAACTTGAACTGATGTTTGTACATACAAAGTTCTAAGTGTTCGCTGATTGACTGACTGACCATTCGCTTCAAACGCCATCCTGAATAGGACAAAGTGGCGAGCGACTTAGATTCTACTACTAATAGCCATTATCCATCTTTACTTATAAATCAGTATACATTTTATAAAGTTTACATTACATCAATTGTTTGTATTTATTCTATTGTAGATGAATTCAATAAAGAAATATCTGGTAATAACAAATCAATTAATAACTGTATGTAAACAACCAAACTTATTATGACAAATTCAAACGAATTATTTTAGATATAGAATGTTGTAGAATAAAAGCGGAAGCATTTTTTGGTGCTTCATTAATGACAAGTAGTTTAAACAAAATATTGTGCCAATTTTTCCATTTCTTTTTTGTTTATTTAAAAAAGAAAAGAACATTACTTGTAATCAAGCAAAGTCATCTTGTTTAAGGATATTGAAATGTTCCATATTAGGATGAAACAGTTATCCAGCGCTTTCAACTTATCAATGATGATCCAACATGGATCGATTCATGATCTCAGTCGATAAACTTAACAATCGCCACGATCCTATATTGATAATTATCATATAAATTTGAATAGTTATATTTTATGTGTATGTCATGTTGTCTACATACAATAAACCTTAAGAGTTTATACGCAAAACCGAAGGCCCCGAGCTCGAATCCCGGCGGGCGCAGTGAGCACTTCTGAGGAGTTCCACAATGGGACGAAACAACCGTTCAGTGTTTCTATAATTTCATTGGTAGTCTAACATCAATCACGTTCATGATCTTAATCAAAAACTTAATAATCTACACAACCTCATACTGATAATTGTCTTTATACTATGCATTATAATTGTTTGGAACTTTTCAAGTCTATTCAATGAATATTGTTTATATAAGATTGTCAAATTATTCTTAATTTTGGTGAATTCAAACTCCGGACTGAATATGAACTCTGAGATGAAAGTATATTCAGTTGATAAATCTCGAATAGGGCAAAACCCACATCCTAGCCACTATCTATCTATGCTTGTAATGCATGTTATTTCAGACAATAACGAAGTAATCCACATACGATAACACTATACGCCAATAAGAGACTGATCAGTTGCAGTTCTAATCAGGCAAACATTCTGTTCGTAATACTGATAAATCAAATATATATATACATACTTTGGTAAACTTTAAATGTAATCACTTCTTATTTAACATCTTTATAGAAATAATAAACACTATAGAAAATGGTGTAAATGAATATGGTAATCATTTGTTAGTATTACATAATTTACATTAACAATATTGACCGTTTCAATAGAATATTTACAATTTCTGGGTGACGTTTTTGTTCTCAGCAAATTAGTTTTCTAATGAGATGAGATGGCTAACTCCATACTTAATCCTTCTCCTTTATCCGAGCTTGAGAGTGGCAGTAGCCCCAAAGAGGCTCCTGGCGGAGTGAAAATAATTACACGGTGGATATCATAGGTTCCATAAGTTCACATTATATTTCATTCATCAGTTTATCATCATCTTGTTTTGTTAATGATTCATTATTCTGAGTAATTGATCAATTAATGTTTGTGATAAGTCTTGCAGATTGAACGCTATATTCGTCTCCTAAGTTATTCTGTAACCCCTAAGCTAGAACTAGACAGCGACCTGAGCACGAGAGAGAAGACTCAAAATATGCGAGAAGTAGTTTACTCCAGGGTTCATTTTAATACAGAAAATACAGTGTTTTTATAATATTTTAAATATCCTTGGGTTGCTAAAAGATTCTGGAATGCTACTAAACATAATTGCAGTGTAGCAGTCAACCAATCAGAGCCTCTGCATGTGTCGTTTCGCTTCCTTGATATTTTTGGCTAAGACTTCAAGTGAACGCTGACTGGATGAAACGCTTCTTAGTGTTTTCTGATGCTTACTTGTCTTTTGCAAGCAATTTTCTGGATCACCCCAACAGTTTGATGTACACATTACATTCTCATTTGAAGTTCATATTATTTTAATAATATTTCATAGGAGTAACAATACCGGAAAGTTTGAAATTAATCGACTGTTACAATGAACAACAGTCAACGTATAAACGTAAATTTATTTTTATACTTATGTAATATAATACTGAAATTTACTACTAACAACTTGTGATTTTTAAATAGATTCACATTGTATGAAATATGTAATTGTGATAAAAACATTCTAAGCAACGATGAATGTTGACTAGTAGTGGAATCCAAGACATTTGTTTCGTCCTATTTTGGACTCGTCAGTTGGATGTTAAATCATTGTTCAAATAGTTTTTCAGTTTGAATACAAGGACATGGATGCTTTTTGATTACTTACATACGCCTGTTACTCCTCATGAGAAAAAATAGGCCGCCCATCAGCACTCTCCATCGGTAATGTATTTCATATCCACTTCCAACGTCTTTTCCGGATTCCCTCTTCAGATGGAAACTTGTTTGTTCTGTCCCAGAGAAGGCTGTTGCTGTCGGTGTCTGGCCAATCGATATTGAGTATCTTGCGTAAACGACTATTTATAAATACTTGTACCTTCTTGATGGTGGTTGTAGTAGTTCTCGAAGTTTCAGCTCCGCACAGTAGAACAGTCGAATTGAAGATTATGACTTTGATATTGGTTGAACGTTGTTTTGAGTTGTATACACCATAGTGTCGAAGATGGTTCCATATGGTTCTCCTATAAACACTATGAATTGCTTTCTCATAATCAATGATGTTGATGTATATTTATGAGTTCCATTCAATTGGTTGCTCAACAATGATCCGTAGTGTCGTGATTTGCATACTTTCTAATTAATCAGTCTAAATGATATTCTGTTACACTTGCAATGTCACTATTAACACAATCTATTTATTCAACAACAAATTTTATTTCATGTAATGTGTTTGATAATGACAGACTTCAACGACCTTTCCCCCCCCCTATGATATTTATGGAAAATATAGAAATTATTTCCTTATAGTATCATCTATAGTGTGTTCAAATAAATACTGAACTAGACAATATCATTCCATTGAGTAACATCTTTCTTATTCAACCGCAACCAAACTGATACACATGACACAGATCACCAACCAGCGATCAATCAATTGTGATTACATCTCAGTCCTACAGGAGGTGGGTTGTGGCCCGCATAGCCCAGTCGTAACGTCTCTGACTGTGAAGCTGGGTGACACGGGATAAAATCCGTCAGGGTAGTACTAGTTCCCTCAAGATTATAGGCACACCTTGCTCACGAGTATCAAGTAGCATGAAACCTAGGTCCAGAGTTTCTACCTGACTACCTAGAACCACCATCTTATCTCAACATAGTGCACGCAGTGTTGAGTCACTTAGACTGGTGGCCAGATTGAAACTTGGTCGATAGCATTCGATCTGAACTAAGAAGGACTTTACACACATGAGAATGATCACCACTCAGTGATCAATCAATTGTGAATGATCTTGATTAGATAACTGACAAGAGAGATTTATTGAAATGAAAGTTATAAACCAGTATGAGAAAATCAAATTATGATCTACAGTTCATAGTTAAGATTAAGAATTAGGTTCATGGCTTTCATCACAAATTGTCATCAGCTAAAATGTTAAAACTTTATTTTACCAAATAGATAAATGAATTTCGCGCCAAAAATTCAAGACCTGTTATCTTAAATCTGATTGGTTCGTTCATGAATTATCATTTCATCCTATTTAAATAATAACAATAAACTAAATAATGAACAGAATTATCTAAACTTAGTTCTAATAAAATACAACTAAATCTATACTAACTTTTCAATGACTATTTTCTCACTTCTTAATAGAAATACTTTCTAAATATGCGAAGGATGCATGCATTGGACATAGTACATATCCTAGGAAAGGTAAACTTGAATAATCCACATTTTATATTATCATATTACTTACATATTTATGCCTATTACTCATAATGGAGCATAGGCCGCCGACCAGGATTCTCTAACTCACTCTCACCTGCGCCTTCCTTTACAGTTCTATCCAATTGTTATTCATTCTTCTCATGTCTGTCTCCATTTCTCGGCATAATGTGTTAGTTGATCTTCCTATTCTCATTTGGCCTTCAAGATTCCGATTGACAACTTGTCTTGCAATGCAGTTCGTCGCGTTCCACAATGTGTGTTCTATCCACTTACAACGCTTCTTCTTCTTTATCACTTCTTCCTTAACTGGAATCTGGTTTGATCTCGACCACAGTTGGTTGTCGCTGATAGTGACTGACCAACCGATCCGAAGTATCTCGTGTAGACAACTATTACCAAACACTCGTATCTTCTGGATGATGGCTTTGGTAGTTCACCAGGTTTCCTCATCATACAGTACAACTGTCTTGACATTTGTATTGAAAAATCTAACTCTGGTGATGGTTGACAATTGTTGTGAATTCCAGATGTACTTCGATGGGTGATATGATGCTCTTACTTTGCCAATCTGCGCATTCACATCTGCATCAAATCCACCGTGTTCATCAATCATGCTTCCCAGATATGTGAAGGTTTTTACATGTTCCGAAGCTTCTCCATCAAGTGTAGTTTGATTGCTGCATGATGTGTTGTATCAGAGAATCTTGCCTTTCCTTTTGTGTATGTAGAGACATAGTGCTGCTGAGGTTGCCGGTGCTACACTGATCGTTTTCTCTTTATTTGTTGTTGTGTGTGCGATAGAAGAATCAGATCATTTGTGAAATCTGGATCTTCGAGCTGTATCGTATCTGTCCACTGTATCCCATGCTTCCGCCCAGATGTTGACGTCTTCATGATCCAGTCGATCACCACAATGTTTAATTATGTATTCGAGACAAATTAAAGATAATGGATAACGTCTTATATTGAATTTAAGTCATTAACAGTGATTATAACAGAGTATCACGAATTCACTCTGTCTTATTTCATTTGTATCTCATCAATTGCTTACGAGCCTATTAAAACTTAAAATCATAAGTGCATAATCATTCTGAATTACTTTCATGAAAGAGTTCAGTTGGAAGCTATTTTGAAGATATATTAGTATAGTACGTAATGAATATAAATATGTTGAATAGATTAAATAAAATATAATAAATATATTCGAATTCATGAGTCAATTGAAGCTAGACCACCATGGGAATCCTGGAAGCACTGTACGGCTGTGTTATTCTAGCATTGGACTCCTCAGCAGTGCACATCCATGACCCCGTCTCGCGAGATTCGAGTCCAGATCAGTCTAACGCGCTAACAATTAACCACTAGACAACTCAGTCGGCCGTTACCCAACGGTGTCAATGTCTAATTTCAACTAATCCACGAAGTTGCACCACCGTCCACTAAGATGAAACGACCATCCAGTGCTCACAGGTTTTCTATAGTAGTCTAGCTTAAATTGACTCATGAATTCAACTACATAAATAATGTTCACTCTTTTCGATTCATATTGTCTATCAGTAACCACGATGTCTCCGATTGTACATTTTCGTAACTTGTACAGTGAAATGTCGTCAACGTTTCACAAATGCGCTTGAATAAATAGGCATATTGATGAGTTTAAACAAATAAGAAAACAGATAACTTGTTGAAATATCTAATTGATAGGAACACATAGCCCAGATATTCAAGTAGACCGCTTTATTCGAATGTTTGATTCAAAGTAATATAGCCCCTATCAACTAATTAATCAATATTAAGATAGATAAATCATGTTTCATGTATCATAAAAGCAATATTCATTTCCTGGTTCAAACAGTGTGAACTTTATGCTTTATAGTTGTCCTTCCATTACATACCATGATTTCGAAACAATATCGCCATCTTCGAGATTACAATTATAGATTATGTAAGTAAAATTTTTTTTGTTCAGATTTTCCAAAGAATAACATTTTCAAATGAATAAATACTGTAATGAATGGGTACATAAATGGGGACAATCGAATACAACATCATAGAACATCTTCGTAAAATCTATGAACCACACAGTGAATACTTCATTTGCAAAATGTCCATCAATCGTCTCAGAATTGATTTTTCCTTCGTTTCTACATCAATCACTCTTCGTTCTTGTTCTTTTTCCTTCGATCATCTTAACCTTCTACTACCACCAGACAGTTCACTTTCGATCGATGATACATACTACTTATATCACTGTCAACATCAGTAGCATACATCTCAATAGGTCCTATTGGACTATATTCATACTGTGTACAGTGTATACAACAAGTGAATTAATTTTCGGATAAATCGAAATTACTAGCTTAATTAACACTAGTGGTGATTATTTCATCAGTAGTATATATCCAATTATTGTTCTAATTTGTCATTTCAGTTACATATGAATTTCAATTAAACATTGCCAATGAAATTAATAAACGTTTATCAAAATGTGAGTCAACATTAGAAACTGGTTGTATTCATTTTCGTTATAGTTGCTTAAATCTTCCCATTCATGTTTAGAGCTGTAATTGATCAGTCTCTTATTAGCATATGTGCATCCTATGCAGACTGATTCGTAATAACTGAAGCTACAAGTATTATAGGCATAGATGGATAGTGGCTAGCAATGTAGTCCAGGACATGCGTTTTGTCCTATCTAGGACTCATCAGCAAAAATATCAGAATCCCAGAGTTGATGTATACTCTGGAACTCGAACACAGTACCACTCACTTCAAACGCTATTGCATTATCCACTAAGCTACTGTGTGTCCGTTAGCCACTGACTTATGCAAAGGTGTCTCAACTAGCATGAAACGCGTTTCCTGTATTACACTGCTAGCTACTCTACATCTCTGCTTACAACGTTTGTGATTTAGGGCAATATCAAGGCAATCTGCATAAGAAGCACATATGCCAATAAGTAAGTGATCAGTTATAAACTTAAACATCTATAGAAAAATTCAAACAACCAAAACAAAAATGAATTCAAACTTCACCAAATTTCACAAGCTAGTGGTTATCAGGAGAAAGAAGCTATGTAGATAACGCTATAGTGTTTAAAGTGAGCAGTGCTGGTTTTGAGTCCCGCAATGAACATTAACACTGAGGTGCAAGTACATCCAATTGACGAGTCCAAAATAGGACGAAACGCACGTCTTGGATTACACTGCCAGTTATTATCCATCTCTTCTCAGAAAAACTGATTATTTGTTCGTATTTTTTTCTAATTTGTATTAAATTAAACATCACTCGTTGAAATGAATTCACGAATCAATTGAAGCTGGACCGCCATGGAAAAGCTGGAAGCACTGGATGTCCGTTTCATCCTAGTATAGGACTTCTGAGCAGTGTGCACCCACAATCTCGACTCGCGAGACTCGAACCCAGAACCCGATTATATACTATTTTTATGTATAAAACAGTGAAGGATCTACATTTTGACTGAATAATTAATTAATTGCTTCATTTTTTTACAGACGAAAAATTGATAATGAAAAAAGATGATATTGAATTCAACTTCGAAAATTCAGAACGTATGCCTTAGTTTAAAGAATTCAAATTCCCTTTCATATGTTTTATCTTTATATTATGGATTTGACAAAAGAAACTGTTGACATTTATGTTTTTGTGACTTCACGGAATTCATCACAATTATCTGATCATGTTGAATCAAATGGTAGAGGGATGCGAGTTTCAGAGTGAAAATTAACACAAGAATGAATATACGATTCGATACCATATCACCCAGCTTCATAGTCAGAGACATTACCACTGAGCTATCGAGACAACAACCGACCTTCTGTAGGACTGAGATGTATTTACAATTGTTTGATCACTATGTGGTGATCAACTTCATGCGTGTTAGGTTCTTCTTAGTGCAGATCGAATTCTATCAACCAAGTTTCAATGTGGCCACCAGTCTAGGTGGCTCGAAATCGCGTGCATTATGTTGAAATGAGATGGTGGTTGGATGTAGTCAACAGAAAACTCTGGACCTAGGTTTCACGCTAGCTGGTGCTCGTCATCAAGGTGTACCTGTAATTCTGAGGGAACTGATGCTCCCTGACGGATTCGATTTCGTTTTACTCAACTTCACAGTCACAGTGAATATAAATTCGGCTGAGAAATCCTTGAATGGGACAATTCACATATACTGCCTTCCAATACTAGCTACCGTACATTTATGACTACAATTATTGTGATGAGAGCATGAAAAATATTTTATGAACAGAGATTATTTGACAAGTGTATATAAGAATGAATGAATATGAAACTTAATATTTTAATCAAAAGTAATATCTAAATTTATTTGCAAAATAGATACAGTCAAATTTGTATTTTAGGCAAAGATGGATAGCGACTAGCATTGAAATCTAAAACGCGTGCCACTTCGACCTATTTAGGATGGTGTATGAAGCGAACGGTACAGGGTTCGAGTCGTAGAGTGAACATCAACTTTGAAATGCAGATACATCCAATTGACGATTCCTAAATAAGACAAAACACACATCCTGGATTCCACTGCTAGCCACCATTTATTTTTGCTTAGAATACCTGTAAATTAAGACAATATCAACGCAATACACACAGTCTGAACATATGTCAATAAGATACTGATCAATTGCAGTTCTAAACATCAATGGGAAGATCCAAGTAAAAAATACCAAGTGAATTCAAATCTATTAGAACTCTTCAATGATGCTCATCATAACATACAGTTTACTATGGAACACGTACGAAATGGCATGTTCCACTTTCTTGATATTGCTATAGAACGTGAAGTAGAGGTGATAGTTCAACAATCAGCTGATTGTAAAAGTACTTGGAATGGTTTTTCCTTGAGTTTTAATAGTTTTGGTCCAAACAGTTATAAGAAGAAATGACAATGTTTATGAAATATGTATTTATTAAGAAGTGAAGAATAATATCACTTCCGTATACTATCTATTCTCAATTCTCTTTTACCTAATTTACAGAGAACATAAAAGAAGAAATTGAACATTTCAGAGAAAATGAAGCTCAAATGTTAAGCATAAAACGTAAATTTAAAGATAATAAATAGGGATAATAGACTGAAGGCCCTGGGCTTGAATCCCGTTAGCGTGATCGTGGCTGTGCACTGATGATGAATTCCACAATAGAACAAAACGGCCGTCCACTGCTTAAATGTTTCCAATGGTGGTCTAACATCAATCTTGTTAATGATCTCAATCAATAACTTCATAATCTCCGCAACCCTATATTGATAATAACAATGTGATCACTAGTAACTAGTTTCATGAGGGAATTCTCGAAGTTCTAGTGAGAAACTGTGACCAAAATTAGCATTAATCATTTATTGTTTAAAGATAACAAATATAATTCTAGTACACATTTCAGATAAAATCAATATGGAATTGTCAACTGAAAATCAAACAATTGATCAATGTATGTTGAAACATGAACTAATCAAACAAACTAATCTGATGATTGTAGATATGACGTGCAGAAGTAAACTTTATCAATCTGTCGAACAAAAGATTCTTATGGGAGGTCAGTGTGTACCTAATGCATTTCAGTTCGGAATTGATGAACTCGATCGTCTGGAAATTGTTATTGTCGTTGTTGATGTGTGTGTGTAAAGTATTTATACATCTGATGATTTGATTATTAATATGAAAATTCGAGATATATATCATACAGACATGGGATTTGTAGCTAGACTCAACTGTAGAACCTGTAACATGACACATGGCAAACGTTTGCATGTAGTTCGACAGTATTTGAGTGTTTCACATCAAACACACTCAACATTCGACCAACTCACATCGATTGTGCATACAGATGAGGTGATCGGACACACAAACACAAACAGAGAGTGTTTGTTCAATGGGCATAAGTCAAACTGTTGGTTTCACACCAATACAAATACCGATATTGCCTCGTACCAAGTCTCGTGATAAGCATCTCAACATTATTGTATTTCGATCATTGTCGCCAAATTCTCACATCAATCGTCAGAATGATGTGATGAATTTACGAATAAAATATTTCGGAACAAATAAGCAAATAAATAAACGATAGAATAGTGAAACATGATTTAGCACTCGATTTTATCTCTCACCCAATGTGCTTCATTGCTACTTTAAATTCTCTTGTTCTACAATGTTTAGAGTTAATCAATGAAATGAGAATACAAGAAAACATACATGGTATGTGTAATTTCCTCCAATGTACTGATCGTGTTTGACAGTTGAAACGGTATTCATGCCATTTCATCAACATTTTCACAATATTTGAAATGTGCTGATGATAAGTGCAGTTTGTAAGGCAACACAAGCATCATTTAATATACTTGACATCAACACTCCATTTACTTGTGAATGTTTCTAATGTGGTTGAATGTCTGTGATGAAGAACTCTCTGTGCTACATAGTTGTGGTTCTGTAATCTTACCAAATGTAAACCTTCTTATTTGACTATTGAATTGTAGGAATACCTGTTCGAAATTCTGATATAATGAAGAAGTGTTTCACTGAAGAACAGTCGGTTTATGCAAGTGAGTGTGAATACTTATTAACGAGTGTTTGGCACATATGTTTCCTTTCAATTATTCAACGATGATGTATTGTATATATTGCTGGAATTGCTCATTAATTTTCGTATGAATTGTCATATCAGTTGTGACTTTGATCAGATTGTTCGAAGTATATAGGGCAAATATACCGCTAAAATGTTTGAAATTGATGATAATTTCTGTGTGATGAATCACCTAATGATCCAATGTTCATCGATGTTGTGCGAAATTCCATGTATTGTTGATAATAGGTTGCTTATTTGAGTTGTATGCAACGTCCTTGATCTATATGAGAAGCGTCCATCTAGACTGTCCACCTAGTAGCTTCTATTTCATTTCTATTCGTTCAAATAGTGATAATGAATGATAGTTGACTTGTTGTTTATAGATTGAGCAACTCTGTAACATTTGTATTTTCATTCTCACATTTATCCAGAATTGGAGAATGAATACAGAAATGAGAATTGTCATTTACCCATTTCTAACAATATACGAAGTAAATTTTCTTAATGAATATGTCTGTTTCACACTTGTATACACATACTAGTACATGATTTACATTCGTATATTTTATTGTTCATAGAAAATCACCCACATTATAAAGACACATTTAACGCAAAACCACCTAGAATGGAGCTTATCTCAATCACAACAGATTCTGTTTGATTAGTTACAGAATGGGTTTTGTACAAATACATTGCGATGGCGTTCGTAAACTTTTCTCGAAGTAAAGCCCTAAAGAATTACTTGCTTTCGTTGCCAATTCCCTATGTGGAAATGGATATCTAGCGAAATTCATGAAGAAGTATACCAAAACCAACCTACAGGTTAAATACCATTCAGATGAAAAGGAAAACTGCTTCTTATATATGCGCTTCAAAGGAGATGAAATCACTGATATAATTAAGCATAGGATAATGTCCACGTTGAACGTAGCTTATCCAACAGCAAGACTGAGGACATTATGTGAAACGGACTGCCCACTCAGACAAACAGAACTTAACCGGTCCTCTTTTTCAGCACTTCTTACTGCATTTGTCAATTTACATGTGCGTGCCATTGCACATACCTTGAAAAAACATAAATGTGTAGTGAATAGAATTCCTCATTGAAACCGTCTAGTGCTTCCAGGTTTTCCATGGTGATCTAGCTTCAGTCAACTCATGCTCTCAACCATTGAAATTACTATAATATCCACAAAACCCCTTCTGATATGAATCAAAATATTTTCACTGAAGACTGGCTTCAAAAAGTATCTCCTGGAGTTCTAGTGAGAATCAGTGACTAGTGAAGTTCAACCGGGTCTGTTGTGAGATAGTAACTCACTGATGTAAATGGTAGATGTGTCGCTCAACTTCTTGGATTAGTTGAAATTATACATGAACACCGTTGGATACTGGCCAGCTCAGTGGTCTAGAGGTTAAACGCTCGCGCGTGATACCGATAGGTTCTCGATTCGAATCTCACGAGGCGACATCGTGGATGCACACTATTGAGGAGTCCCACAATAGGACAAAACGGTAGTACAGTGCCTTCAGGTTTTCCATGATGATCTAGCTTCAATTTACTTATGATCTCAACCACAAAAACCCTTTGATATAAACTGATATTTTTAGAAATTCTAGGCTATTATAATTAATTTTATGTCATTTCAGATATCAAGCTGATCGAAAAATTAGTTTCAAAACGATTCTATTATCTAAGAGCATTCAATAAAGAACTATGTAAGTGAAATACTATTTTTCTTTGTACATATATAATTTAGATCCTTTAACAAATTCATTTCAGTACAGAGTTGTGAAGATTGTTACGTTTTTGATTGATCCGGTGAAGGGGGATCGTAGATATGCACTACTAAGGAATCCTATACTAAGACGAAATGAACGTCCAGTGCTGCCAGGTTTTCAATGATGGTCTAACTTAGATCGAACGATTCATGATCTCAATCAAAGAAAAGAGATACATGTATTCATATGTATATAGAATAA